ACTATTGTCAAATTGAGCAAAATGAATATCATTTAGATTTTTCGTAAAGGACAAGAGACCAATCTACTACATTACAATGCTAAACAATGCATGCATACACTGCATGGCCAAATCACAACACTAGCTAGGCCTAAGTGTCTAAGTTTCAAATCGTTAAATATTTAGATTTAATGAGTGCATGTTAATAAAATCAAAGTTACTATATTTACTTATAAACTCCATTCAAAAGTTTTCAACTCATCAAAAGCACAAAAGTGCGTTAATATCGACCACATTAACGCACTTTGAAAAAAAAATGTGCACGGCTTGATCAATATTCTTGCAAATTTTAGATATGATAAATAATTATTAGAACCTGTTTGGATAACTTTTCGGTAATGACGTCAGTTCAGGATCTGAGATATAGACGTTTAAAGATTTTTATTGTTGTCTAGTTCCCAAAGGTTCTTGTAAATGTAATAAAAGGGAAATAGGTCTTTTAGTAATAATGGGGGAATGATTGTTTAGTAGCACGATTTCGTTTCTTTTTTATTTCCAGTCTATGATAAGTTCTGTAAATGTAGGGGTCGATTTATGACTTAAAGCATCGCATTTTTCTTAGGGAAAAAGGAGCAATTATGATTTTTCCATTGAAAATAATTTTCCCGCAGAATATGATGGTCTTTTTATAGTTATTTGATAAGTATTTAAAAGATGAAAAAATTGTTTATTCCCGCACAATATGATGGTCTTTTTTTAACAGTTTTTTTTCTTTCTTTTTTGTGTGATTAGTATTAAGAGTTATGAATTTTTTTAATGCATTTTATACAAGTTGATTTTGTAAAGCTACTTTGGCCAAAGTATAGGTAGGCAGTTGGCTATTGTTGCTTAGATTAGCTATATGGTCCCCGAACCTCTCTTCTTTAATATAATAGGGTGCGTTATTAGTTTTTTTCAGGAAATTTATTGAGAGAAAGTATACCAATGTTATACTACGTTATGTAAATACATATATTTGGGTAGGAAAGATAATTAAACAGTTGGGCTGAGGGACCTTCTACCTGTCTTCTCTTCGTTCTCGATGAGGGTAGATCAGTTCATCAGTTTTTCTAAAGAAATATAACAAAATAATGCTCTCTATTACTTAGATCTAAGTCCAGAATTTTTGTTTTATACATATTTTTTCAAAGTGCGTTAAGTGTTTCCATGGTAAAAAATGTTGATGTACACTCTTAACGCACTTTGAAAAAAAAATTTCAAAGTGCGTTGATTTTGTCCCAAAGAACTATATGCGTTATATGCATATTTTACCCCCATTAAAGTCAAATTCTGAAAATTTCTTGAAATGTTCTGAATGGTATACATGATATGAAAAATCTGAAATAACAAAAAATATTACAGTTTCGAAGTAGGTTATTGGCAATTTTTGTGTCTATGATGTCACAAACTATTTGGATTTTGCGTTATTTTTCAGAAAAAGGACAAAATGGACAAAATTCGTTCAATTTTTACTATATAAATTATGGAGTGAAAACCTGCTCCCTAACAATATTCACGTATTTCATTGATATGATCATTCTACACATTGTATCAAAACATTGAGTTGTAGCAGATCTGTGTTTTGTGACTTTTACTCAAAATATCGACGTAATATACACCTTTTCTTCTATAAATCATGGAAATTTTGAATTTACTCCATTTTTCTGACGTCATATCTAACATATGGCGTCACGGCTGATGAAAATATTTAATGCTTTGAGGTCTGCAGATATCCCCCTAGTTTATATCTTGATTGTAGATTTCTCCTTAAAAGTTTGACTTTGGGGGCAAATATTGGTCATTGCCGAATATAGTCCTTTAACGCACTTTGAAAAAAAATTTCAAAGTGCATTGATTTTGTCCCAATTTTAAAGCACTTTGAAAATTTTTTTCAAAGGGCGTAATTTTTTCAAAGTGTTGCCACACTGCATCTCAAAATGAGAGAGTTTCTCATGAGGCTTTCATTTCTTTCTTTCTCACAAAAAATGTACACAACGTAATACATGGCGGATAACCATTGTTTTATATAAAGTTATAAATGTATTTGAGTTATCACTCTTCTGAAGAAAGTATCAAAACATTACAATTAGAGTTCCTATAAGAGTAAAAAATCACTTAAATCAGATTTTGATTTTAGCATTTCATTGCAAGGTTACCTTGATCCTTGAGATATGACCTTAATTTAAGGTGATTAATTTAAGTCATGGAAAAAGCGTTCTTTATTGTGAATACATTCCAACCAAGGAATCCAAAGATATTGCTTGTTCTATAGCACGTCATTGCCTGAATACATTTTTGTAACAAATAATCGTGGTGAACACAGTATGTTTTACCCTGCTGGGGAGATACACTAGTAAATATACATGTAAGCACATGAAATATATTTTAATATAATAAAGTAACTAAACACGTTCTTAACAAAATCTAAACAAGAAGCTACTCGTAGGGTTGAAAGATAAACCCAGACTCTGTAGGAATTATTTCAAAAACATTGTCTTCAGTCTCACGAGGCTAATTTTTAAAAGACTCAAAAGTACAGATTCAAATTCGGAAGACTTGCCAGTTATTGACCAGTAAGTACTTCGACTTAAGAACAGAGCTGATCAGATTGCTTTAATCTCATCCTTCATCTTCCAAGTATTTCATATGAAACATCTCAAATATAAATTTATCATATGTGAAACAGGTAACAATCCTGGAAATAGAGTTTAGGCTTATATATTCTCTCTGGAATTATAGAACACTCATCGACAAAATATATGTCATTTTTCAATATCCAAAATATCAATTTTAAATTTCATCTCTTAATGCAAAATCTTGTCTTCAATGTAGAAGCTTTAAATCGATCAAGAAAATGAAGGTCACATGCACTATCCGAAGCATGATTCCCAGTAATGTATGCGCAGTATCATATTCATGCAAGTTTTATCTACATATACAAGGACATTCATGCATGCTTCAAAATTTTCGTTTTATTCAATTAGGTATAATATAGAACATATACATGCAGCTCTAATTTATGAATCTGAAATATTAATAATTCATTCATTCATTCAGAAAATATGGGTCACATGCAGCATGCAAAACATGGCTGAAATTACATGTATACATCCAAAAATGCATTAAAAATACAAGTTTCTGGTGAAGGTAGGGCTGCTTGACAGAATTCGTCCTGTTCCTAAAATATCTCTCTCTCTATATATATATATATATCTCACGTGCAGATCCAGATTATGATTGACTTGAGCATCGATCTTTACTGGCTTCGTCTATGCAAGGCTGGTCGATGTAGGAATTATTGCTACTTACTTATAGCTTCTTTGGAATACTTAAATCTGATTACTCATCAGGATAATAAATGGGTCAGATAGCATCCAAAATTTTACTTGTAGCTCATCACAACTTTTCCACTATTATATTTACAATTAAATTCTTAAACCCGAAGAAAGAGTTCCATGCAATGAATTTTTTTCATAAGGAACCACACCCTTTTGAGACCATGAGAAGAGAACTTTCGAACCTTACTGCACATAATCATAAAAAAAGATTTTTTTGGCAGCATATTAAAACGAATGAAAATATTTTAGGCCACTGGGGACCGAAAACAAAACCAAAAAAAAAAAAAAAAAATTAGGAAAGAAACATTATCGCAAGCATACATGAAATAGCAAAACCTTAGATATATAGAAAGAGTTCAAAACATCAGCTTTCTTAAGAAACCACGTTATTTAGCTACTTGAGAGCCCTGGGATAGGGATCAAAATGTCAAAATCATTATGCAATGTACATCTAAATTATAAATCCAGACTGGCGGACGAACAAAGATGGCATAACGACAGTTCATTAAAATTAGCAAATCTATGACATGTCAAACGTTGCAATATTCGATCTTTTCCATTTGTATTCTATAATTTTCCATTTGTATTGTATAAGTTTTCTTTTGTATTCAATATTTTTCATTTGCATTGTATATTTTTTTTGTATTCTATAATGTTCCATTTGAATTGTATGTTTTTCTTTGTAATTATATATTTTTATTTGTATTCTATGAAGTTCCATTTATATTGTATATTTTCTATTTGTTTTGTATAATACTCCATTTTCATTCTATAATGTTACAGTTTATATTGTATGTAAATTCCATTTGTATTCGATAACAAAATTTATAAATACATTTCATTATCAAATACAAATGCAAATGTTGTATTTTACATTATAAATGGTAGCTATACAATATTAATAACGAAATATAGAATGCTCTTAGAAATTATAACAATACAAAGAGAAAATGGAAAACATGCAATACAAATTGAAAAATAAAGAATAAATTATTGAATACAAATGGGAAAATCGAATATTGCTATGTTTGACATGCCATATACGTGTAAATCAATTATTTCTATGAACACGATATCGTTTAATTTTTTTTTTTATCTTCGGCAATTAAAGAAGCATGTAAATCTTTTCTTCTTCTTCTTCTTCCCGCGAAGAGTATGGATATTTTATATTAGGAAAAAGTTGTATAGAACTTATATCTACCAATTTCAATAGACAGTAGAAAGACGCTGAATTGATAATATTTGGTAATTTGAAGACATTGCAATGTTTAATATGATTGATAGATCTCAGTATATTTTGAAATATAGTTTTACAATAAATAAACATGTTGAATATATTTGCCACAAAATGTTACTTTTCGATGTCCTATTTCACTATTCACGCTACACATTTTGGGTTTTGTTTTTGTTTGTTTTTATAAATGAAATACAAAAAAGCCTGAAATTTTCTACAATACATTGATATAAAAATAATATACCCCCCCCCCCCCCCGAGGAGAAGAAATAATTAATATTTACTTTTTGTTTTTTAATTGATTGATGGGAATTCCCTCTTTACGCTCGAGCTATTTTTAAAGCACTCTGACGTAAATTAGACAAAATCGATCTCAGGAGAATCCCTTTACGTTCAACGAAGAGAGGAGCAGAATGTGTATGAAGACATAGCGCTGAATTTATATTATCTTCGTGAACTAGGGATATGATTCTATAGCAGAATATGGGAGTGAAGTTCAATTCCAAGGCATATCGTTTTACAAGAAGTCGGTTCTGATTGGCTCCCTATGGCTGATATCACATTGAAGCTGATCTGGTATCGGCTTGGGGAGAGTTTCGACAAAATGGCGAATGCGGGCCAGGGAATTACGGCTTGGTTGTTTTCTGACTGGGACGATAATTTATTGGATGTTTTGCTTTTCGGGTGGATTGGATGGGCAGTATTAGTCGTAATCATCGTCAATGCAGTGCTGACATTTTTCGGGCCTTTGAAACCCCGCGATAGTTGGGACCAAAGTACTGTCGGGGTTTCTGGGCCGATTGTAATAGACAAAACCGGATCGGAATCCTGTCAATGGTTAAACTCGGCTTTAAATTGGTTCTACTTGCATTATGACAAGTTTCCTGAGTTTGTGGACGCTTGGGTATTGGGTTTAAATGAACAGACAATCAAACTTGGGGTAAGTGTGTTGAAATTGATAAAGAAATGTAGAAAAATTCTATTTACTCTTTTGGGGGACTGTCTCAAAGGTTAAAATATGGAAGCTATTGATGACAAAAGAATATAATATGACAATAGATATATCGAAAACTGCTAATGACTATGCTGTTTTAACGTTTTGTTTTTAATTTTCTCTACCAGCATTATGATAAATAATGAAATGTTGTTTGTTATTGTGGATTTTCTTCATATGTTGTGTTAATTAAATTATTGAGAGTAATAGTGAGACTGCAATATGAGTGGATAGTAACTGTGAATGAAAAAATCAATAATATATATAATAAAAATAAATACAGTGATAAAGTGGAATAACCTAAAATATTGTTGATGCATAAAAGATCAACTGTGAGGAACACATACCAGGCTCCTAAGGTGTTTTACATGAATTGTATGACAGTTTTATTGCAATCAGACTAAGCATAAGGATTTTTTCTTTAGTTTCATACTATAAGGTTCATAGTTCCCCAAAAAAGTAATCTCAAGTGTTCTTGAATATTGGATACAGTGGCGGATTTAAGGGGGGCACACCCGGCTGACAGCCCCCCTGAAATTGTCAAAGTTAGCATAAATCGTAGTTTCTTCGAGAAAATGTAAAAGTGTCTGCTCGGTAGACCTCATTTTTACCCTACAAAATCTCTAGAACCCAGGAGCTTCCAGAGGCCTTGCCCCCCGGGCCCCCACCAGGGCTTTGCCCTGGATCCACTGGGGGCCTGAAGGCAGCCTCCAGACCCCATGCCTACTTCTTGGGCCCCCCTAACTTCAATTCCTGGATCCACGCCTGGGATGTGTATCATATGTTCAGTGCATCACTCTACCAATTGATATTTCGATGATGTGCATTAAATAGATATCCACTCCTCAGTCATGAATGATAACTGACTCTATAGACTTTTAATTATTCATGAATTAAAAATGTCTCAAGATGAAGCATGTTTGTGTGCAAAAATTTTCATTTCATTTCTCTAAATATGACTCAAGCTTCTTTGAAGTCTTAGAAATGGTTTTGTTGAAATTGACATTTGTACCCCATAAAAGTATGAAAATGAATACATTTTTGCAGAAATTGAAATTCCTTTCATCTAACCTTTCATACGGTTACCAGTGCTTATTAATATGATATGAAAAATTAAATGTAATGCATTTCAGCCTTTGGTATGTTGGAACTTCCATGTGCAAAATACTTAAGATACATGTAGGATATACATGTATTAGCAATCTAGATTATACTAAAGCCTAATTTTGCAAATTTTCCATGAAGAACTTCATAGTAGGTGTACACAGCTATAGGCAAACTCCAGATCAGCTGTTAAAAATTAAATCACATTATATCCTCTCTTACTGAATAATTATGTTGAGTTGCCATGGAAACAGTGATGTCTGATGCTGTTGTTTGTAATTGTTATTTTCTTTAGCTAATCCCTCTTATCTGTTTTATGCCTGATAATGACAGAAGGCAAGAATGGATCCATTATTATGTTAGGTTTTTTTATGTAATTGAAGAGGAATTTGTATGTAATTAGCTAGGAGCACTCTTCAGATTTTTTGCATTGCTTGCATTAAGCAACAGAGATGCATGTTTTCTGGATGCATCACATTAATTTGATTATGTGTTGATCTGTATTAATGTTAAGATTTACACAACTTAGTACATTGTCATAGCTAAGTTCAACTCTATGAAGGTTTGATCTTCAAACTGTCATAATGGAAAACAGTGTTCAAATAGATCCAATTAAGGTTCCTTCTTATGGGACTGTATAAACCAGGGTCCCTTATCGCTGTAGATGCTAGCTGACACAGAAAGATTCCTCACTGCTCAATGACCTTATGTGTTGTGTACATGCGTCCCAGCCAGCTTGAGTGAAATATTCTCAAAGGGACATAAAGCAAACAAAAAACCAACTACAGACTTTAGGGTAATTTGGAGGCTGATACAGATTATAGTTGTAGTAAAATCTGACACTAGTGGCCATTGTTACAGTATTCAAATATTGTATGTTTGAAGTAAATGCTTCATTATGTGATACTATGTATGACAATCGCTATGTAATAATATTTTCTGGCCACCAATACAATTGTTATGTATATTTATAGTGACCTGAGCTGACCTCTGATCTATTACCCTGTAATGATGATGTCTGGACATTGTTTGTAGTTAATTACATAATTTGATTATCAATCCTCCTACTGGTATGCTCATAATGTTTACCTGGTGATGCTAGTCATCAGATGGTCAGCTGCATATTGCTCCTAGGTCATTATGTCTGCAGTGTGTTGTGTTATTGTGAGAACTACTTTTTTAGTTATGTATTATGTCTGCATACGATTAGCTGATGTAGCAGGGCCAGGTGAACTTTTAATTCATAAGTAAGATTCCAAAATTTAGGGGAAGCAGCATTTTGTATTGAAATCTTTTTTTTCTTTCCTTACCGGTATTTTCTCTCTTTGTCAATACATTCTTTACAAAAGAATCCCTATGTGTAGGCTCACATCCTCAGCTATAAATATGTTTCTGTGATCTGTCCCAACCAGAGAAAGTATTTTAAAGCAGAATTGTGCATAAATTGGTAATTCAAAGGTTACTCCACTGTCATTTTATTATCTGAGGACAATAGTATACACAAACACTTTCTGGGATTCAATGTTCAACTCCAACAACACTGTGCAAGATATTTATTCTTTTTTCATAGAATACTGTATACAGGGAAATTTTCACCCCTGTTTTATTTTGGTCCCTTTCACCCTACTCACAGATGGGCAAATTTAAAGTGGCAAATTCAAAGAACACAGTATTATATCCTAAACAGAACTTTGGCTGGGCTAATTTAAAATGGGGCAAAATTGCTTGGAAGTGTGAAAGGACGAAAATAACACGGGGCGAAAATAACCCTGTATACAGTATATCTACATATTTTTTAAAAAAAGACAGAAAAGCTGACTTGGTGTTGTCTTCATTGAGTGTATGTCATATATACAAATCTGTTGCAGTATGAGGACTAAAAACTTACTACTGTTTTAAAACTTGGTAAATGTACTGATAAACTACATCTTTTTGTACCATAATGGAAGTTTAAAAAGTAGTTGTATTTTTTCTATAATCGATACACCACATAGCTTTTATAAATGATATTTATTGATGGTTAATGCATTTTTAGCTATAAATGAACCAGTACATCTTTATTTGATGGATCCATTCGAATATAAAATAGATAACGTTTTAACTAAATTACCCCAATATTCATTAAGAAAGCAAGATGGTTTCTTTGAAGATGAGATAAAGCATGTGTGCATATATACGAAACTAATAATCTGTAATCAAACGATAAATATTAAGCTTATTTGATGTTCTTTATTTCTTTGTCACAGGGACCAGTACAGCTCAAGTTTGAAAGAGTCAAGTCTGGAAGTCTGCCTCCAAAATTTAGTGAAGTGACCTTCCAGGCAGGCCCAGAGGATAAATATGTGAGCTTCTTATTAATTTACAATAAAATGTGTTCTTAATTTATTTCAAATCCTTTGTACCACAATAGACATTCTCACTTTAGAAACTGATGAATTGACTCGAGCAGCATTTAATATGAAACTTATACCAACTCATTAATATTGCAAAAAGGGGACTAATAATATATTCTCAAAGTAAACATGGAAAATTTCATATTAATAATATAATACCCTATAAATATGGCTATAATATAGATTGAAGTGTTAAAGGACAATCTGTTACATAAACTGATGAATGACAAATGACAGCCGTTACATATCACAGCCTCCTGTTGGTATCCATGAAATAGTCATTATGAAGAGCTGCTATAATCCCTCAGAAATCCCTGATCTGTCAAATGTGTGACACGTTTTGTAATTGGAAGAGATTGTATAAAGCTCCATACTGCCACTTTTTGTATCATTAACAACACAGTGTGTGTGAGCACTGGGGAAGCAATCAGTAGCATAACTTCATCAAGAACAACAATACTCTTACTCAATACCAACAGTAAATATGGTTTTTTTTAGCTCACTTGAGCCGAGCTTTTCTAATTACCCGTTGTCCACCATTCGTCTAGCTATCTGTCTCTCAGTTTTCTCAAGAACCACTAGGCCAATTTTAACCAAAGTTGGTACAAAGTATCCCTGGGTTAAGGGGAGTTTAAATTGTTAAAATAAAGAGTCAAGCCCCAGTCCAAGGGGAGATAATCAAGAAAAGGCAAAAATAGGGTGGGATCATTAAAAACTCTTCTTCTCAAGAAACACTGGATCAGAAAAGCTAAACTTATGTGAAAATTTCCTAAGGTAAATGTAGATTCTAAATTATTCAAATCATGTCACTTGGGGGTACGGTGGGGCCACAATATAAGGGAATCAAAGTTTCGTATTAAAATATATAAGAAAAATCTTTAAAAAAACTTATGTGGAAATTTCTTATGGTAATGTAGATTCTAAATTGTTCAAATCATGTCCCCTGAAGGAAGGGTGGGGCCACAATAGGAATTCAAAGTTTTAAATTGAGATATATTGGAAAAAATATTTTAAAATCTTCCTCTCAAGAACCACTGTACCAGAAAAGCTGAAACTTATGTAGAATCTTCCTGAGGTAGTGTAGATTTTAAATTGTTCAATTTGTGGTCCCCAAGGTAGGGTGGGACCACAAGTAATCAAAGTTTTACATTGAATTGTATAGGGAAAATCTTTAAAAGTCTTCTTCTAAAGAACCATTGGACAAGAAAAGCTGAAACTTATGTGAAAGCTTTCTGAGGTAGTTTGATTGTAAATTGTTCAAATTATGTACCCTGGGGTTAGGATGGGGCCATAATAGGGGATAATTTTTACTTTGAAATACAATGTATATAGGAAAAAACTTTTTTCAAGAACCACTGCACCAGAAAAGATGAAATTTAGGTGAAAGTTTCCTGAGGTAGTGTACATTGTAATTTGTTCAAACCATGGCCCCCTGGGATCGGTTTGGGCCACAATAGGGAAGAAAGGTTTTTACGTTTAAATATATTGGAAAAAAATTTAAAAATCTTCTTCTCAAGAAGAATATTTAAAAAATATTGGCTGGTGGAGATTTGATTTTGTGGTTGAAGAAGTATGGAGTTGTTATTCATTTGAATTTTAACATTTCATGGAGGACATGAATTGGAGGGTTGCTTCACACCAAGAAAAACAATGAAAATTAACCCCCAAGAAAATGAGTGATTTCACAGTACTTTCTTATTAAAAAAAAAAAAAAAAAAAAAACAACAACAAAACCATTACCATCCAAATATGTTTCCAGAATACTTTAAAAAGTTTTAAAAAAAAAAAAAAAACAAAAAAAAAACAAGATATTAGTTGTTTTTATCATATGATGTTTCAACAAGCAAACACATTAATTTTTTCCTTCAATAACAGATATCAAAATATAACCCTTTATGAAATCTGAATAAAAAATCCATATAACATAACATTTTCCAACTGATGAACTCATACAAGTTTATTCTTTTAGTATTGAATATAACAATTTGTTGTTTTGGCAATTGGAGGGATGGGTATTTTTTGGAGATGGGCACTCATATGGGTAAATAAGAGTGAACATATATTCGCAATGTGTGTTTTTTTTTTTTGATGTTTAAAAGGATTTCTTCTTCTCTGAATCTCAGCTTGTTTTGTATTTAATCTTAAAAAATGTGTTATATGTTTCTGAAATTGGATAGAATTTTGCACTCAATGCATACATACTGATGCAAATATACATTTATGAAGAAGGCTCTGAATTATGTATAATATAATAGTTGTTCATCTCTAGAGGATTATAATTCTGTGTTATCTATAAATTCTCTTTTATCTATAATTAACATGGAGTGGGCTGTTTTGATGTTTTACACTGTCATAGATTCAGCAGAAAAATCTTGCTGAGAAGTTGCTGCTTATAATTTTGGCAATATGCATGTGTCTTAACAGAAGATTCCATCTACATGTACTTTCAATCAGTTCAACATTTTTGCAGGCAAAAAAAGATTTCATGCCACTATTTAAAAGTGCAAAGTAACCTCTCCTTGCATATACTTGGCAGAATCATGTTTTAAAACTGCATTTTATGCATTGACACTGAAATTATTAAATAATTTCTTCAAGATGCATTAACATTCCTTGAATAAACATGTTTATAAAAAACTAAGACTAAGAATGCATCATTTTGTTTGCAGGTTGTTAAATGTAAGGTGGATTCCAAAGACCTGTCGTTTGCCATTTTTGCCTCCCAGCAGACGACAGAGGGTGTTAAACTTACTAACCTGAACACCAGCATTCTCAAACTGAAAGGCTCGGTGAGTGTCAATATATATATTTTTTCAAAGGTCTTACAAGGATGCATATTGAATCTATCTCTCTCTTTCTTTCTCATAATAATTGCAAAAGAACATTCCATGCTAAACTGTCTTTAGTCATGTTAGTTATAAAGATAAATGCCTATTAATAATTCTTTGGCACTCTTAACCTATAGAAGTTCATCAGCCTCCAAAACGTGAAAGGCATGTAAATAATTATATAGCATTTTGCCAAGCCATGCAATAAAGTAAGGTTGGTCTTGTCTTATTTAAGAGAACTGTTTATCTTGAGAAGCCAAACAAAAGGCTCAAAGCAACTTCAACTGCAATTTTATCAATAACATAGTGTTTGAATATTACATCATTTGTTCACGTTAGGCTATTGAAAAGGGAATTGGGATAAGAAATGTGATGAGATATGTTCCCTTTCATAATTATTAGAAAACAGTAGATCATTAAAAAAGAAATAATTCCTGCGTCAGAGGAATTGCTGGAGAATATACCTTGATAGTTGAGAGATTTTGTTGGGAAATAAAAATCGAGCTCAAAGGGCAAGGTTTTTATTATCCACCAAAACTCCAAGACTGAGGGGTATATTCTCCAACAATTACAATGAAAAGGAAAATATTTCTATTCTGCTATAGCAAATTTTTAAACTCCTATGTAGAAAAACAGAGAAGCTGTAGATTTCAATGTTAGCAGAACTGTCTCATGACATCACAATTTTGAATGCTATACTCCTTGTTCATTTACACATTGGACAAAGTGTGACGTAATCCAATTTGTGTCACAATGGAAAGATGCCTCGATCCTTTTCTTAATGAGAGCAGTCAAAATTAGAGGTTACTGATTAAAATTTACTGATAGTTTGTTTATGACGTTTGTGGTTTATTGGAGAATAATAGCCACATCATTTCTTTGATCTTTTGCAATAAGAGTAGTAGAATATCTTGAAAGTGTAGAAAGCAGTGAATTACACAATAACAGCTGTTGTATAATGTGCCAAATAAAACAGAGATTATATATCCCTTATCAAAATACCTATGTGTAATGTAAATTATATGCTGCAGAAACAAACTCTCTACAAGATGTAAAAAGTTCACATGTTCTTTAAAATTGCTTTTTTATGCATTGAAATTTCAACAATTCCTGATTCATTTGATTTAAAGCATTTTTATCTATATAGCAATTAACATTTACATTACATCACTTAAATCATAATAAAACTTGGGGTATTTATTCCAGCTTCGTTTGGAATGCTTTACACATGGTAGTGATATGATGGCTAAGGTCGCATTTGAAGGTCGTCCTGATGTTCGCATAGTTGGAAAACCTGTGAATCCCTACCAGGTATGTACACACTCATGGCCACTGAGCCCTCATCTCAGTATTCCTGATGTAGACATTTTTCTGTCTAATTATAGAAATGCTTATCTTCTGCTAGGCTGTAGGGAGGAAATTTTGAGTATTTATTTTGTGTGATAGTAGATTGGCTTCCCACTGCTACATTACAGAAAAATATAAGAGATCTTAGAAACTCCCAGACCAAGTAACTATGTTCTACTATCATATGAAAATCAAGTCTTGAGTAATAGCTCTTCATCTCATTTAGAAATGAAAGATTATATTTCTGCCCCACCATGAAGCTAACTATTCAACACTTTTTACAGACTGTATATCTCAGAATTCAGTTTCACCTGCTCATAACATCTATATCCTATGATGACTCAGTGTCAAATTAATGAATCTCTGCTACCATATTTTGCTCTATTACTCATATATCATAAAGTACTAAGAGCATGGTATTTTCCATTCAATTATGAAATCTGCTTTTAGTGGTGATCAGCTAGGAGGATAGATAAGTTTTTAATGAGGAAAGGCCATGGATGATTAGGAGGGAAGTATTGACAAGTTGATCACACCTTTATGTCATAGACTTGGTCGACTTTCATATTTCACTCTTCAGTAACGACATCAAGTTGACTTATTAAATGTATGGAAGGAAATACCAATATTTCAAAACTAATGAATTTGGACTTCCTTTTGTCTGTCTGTTGAAACAAACAGCGATATTAATTTTGTTCTTACAACCCTTTAAAGCAATTTAGTACACATTTTCTATGTCTTTATGATGTCAGTTGCCTAAAAATGGCCTGTTTCACCCCTTTTTTCAGATTATTTGAAATTTAAAAAATAGATATTGGTGGACAAATACAGTGTGATTTTTCAAAATTTACACCTGAAGTCTGAAAGCTTTAATTTCTAGATTCAGGAAATGTTATGTCAGATGGTAGAATTCATTTCATTGCCAGGCAGGTAGTGGGTTTCTGTTGCCATAGTTATTTGTAAAACAGCAGACGTTCATGTGATGGAAATGTCAGATATATATCATTTGAATGGATGTGGGGGTTTTTTTGCCAACAGAAGTTACACCTACACAGTAGTTGGAATCTTTCTCTCATGCACAAGAAAAAAAAAATTTGTCTTAGTGAAGTGTGCAAATTTGCTTTATACAACATAATTTGATGTATGTCTTAATTATTGGAAGAAGTCAGGTTTTGCAGGTCTATTATCCCAATGGCTTTTAGATTAAATTACATAAATCAGTATTTCCCCATTTCAAGAGATAAATGAGACACTGAAAGTAAAACATTTTTAGATGATAATGGTGAAATGAAATATAGTACCAGTTGTTTCCGTACAGATGCATGAAAATTTGTTTTTCTGATGTCTGAAATGCTATCATGGGGGACTGAATTTCTTTTTTGAAAGAAACCTTAAGAATTTCTTTGTAAAAATATTGTTAAGGTTTTAATTCTGTTTATAAAACATTTGAAGTTTCAGTTTGAATTTAAATTCCCAACAAATACCAGGTACATGTATTTCTGCTCTAACCTTTTACAGTCATTCCCTAAACTATAAATATGTATATATATTTAATTTTTAAAAAGCCTAAGAAACTGAGTAGGTTAAGAAAAAGTAAGTTGCTTACTAGTATTTGGCACCCACTTGCTACCGATATTAATCTCTAGAATAAAATCCCTGTGAGTGCCATATACCACAGATTTACTGTACTGTTAAAAACATTAATTTTTGTGGGTGTTTAATTTTCATTGTTTTCGAGGTCTGAAGAGACCATGGAATTCATGTTTACCATAATATGTAAAAATTGTCATACACATAACTACTCAACAATTCTGTACCCATGAAAATCATATTCCCATGAACCCATAGTTTCTCCTCAAACCACAAAAAATTGACCCCATGAAAATGTGTGATTTTACAGTATTTTTTGCAAGATTTATGTGTTTAGTGTAGGACCCGTCAGATCTAGTGGACATTGAGGTTGTGATTTTACAGTATTTTTTATAAGATTTATGTGGTGTGTTGTAGGACCCGTCAGATCTAGTGGACATTGAGGTTGTGGAGGAAGTGGTCAGAAATGCTATCTGTCTGGCCACCACAGAATTCAACATCACTAAATGGATCACTGGCCAGTCCCAGAATATCCCCCGAGTGTGTGGAGGGTCCCCAGCCTCTTCCCCGGTCTCACCAAAGCCCCGCACAGAGGAAGTCTTCAAACCTATTGAAGTCAAGCAGATGCAGAGTTCTGTAAGTATGTTAGGTGAATATAAAAGACTGAATTTGTTTGCCTAACAAAATACTCTAAATAAGGACTGGTTTTTACCTATTTTCTGTTTCTAAAATCTTGATAGACTGAAAATGTTTTTAAGTAAATGAAAATATATTTGAGCCATCGGTATAAATGTGGAACTAAAACATTTTTATTGTGTACTCAAACATAGAGAATTTTGCTTTGAAGAAGCTTTGTAGTTTTGTTATATTGAGTATGTTTTATGGTTTCAGCATCATTAAAAGGGCTTATGATTTCAACAGATATTTATGTTTAAAGTTGAATTAAATCAAATTGATGCAGTGCTTCACTTTGAAGCCTACACAAAGATTTAACACTGCCAGAGGAGATGCATGTCAAATAAGCTGTCTTCTGGGAGCAGTCATTAGTTTAGTTGCTGTATGTCAATTTGTTTAGGAGCAAATCATTGATTTTCTGTTCAGTTTTCTCCACTGAAATTGGTATTTTGTGATTTAAAGTTCATGTAATGAAGAAAAAGTACAAGCAATTCATCTGAATTTCTGTTAAATGTAGTGGTACTCTTTGAGATTGATTGTAATCATTATTTAGACCGTGATTGCTAGACTGTACCATTCCCTGGTCTTAGTTTGTAATTAATGGCTAAGACAAAACATGCTGTGTTGCTACCATACTTTATACACATTGATAGAAATATCTGATATTTTATGAGTTTACTGCAAAGTTTTTTATGTTCCCTTCATGAAATGGCCTGGGCATATAATGTTACCCCTTTCAATCCATCATTTTGTCATTGTCTTTCCATCATTGTTTTCCGTATTTTTTATTGCTGAGCTTGTAGATAATGGGCTGAATTTTGGTATTTCTTTTGATATGGATGATTTTAGATCATATTCAAGTTTTGTCATGATTGACCCATTGTTAAAAAAGTTATGGCCTTTAAACTTTGAACATTTCTAATAAATCACCATTTATGGACCTTTTTTATTGGTTTGCTTGTAAGTGATCACCATTTCATGCAGCAATTTAAGTACATGTATGTTGAGGTATAGACAACTGATTTCAGGAAACAAATGCAGCAGTACGATATTTTATTCTTGTTCCATTTCCACAAATTGTTATTTTTATGCCCCCTTTCGTAAAAGGGAGGGCATATTGCTTTGCTGCTGTCTGTTGGTCCACCAATAGTTTCTGTTCATTTTCTTCGCAGAGGTTGCACATACTGAAATGAAATTAGGTATGCAGATTTATCATAAGAATATCTATGTCAGGTTCTGTTTTGGGTACAATCGAGCAATTTTTGACAGAGTTATGCCCCTTGGACTTAGAAAAATTCCAATTATTTGCAGTTTCCATTCATTTTCTTTGCAGAGGTTGCACATACTGAAATGAAATTTGGTATACAAATTTATCATAAGAATATCAAGGTCAAGTTCTGTTTTGGGTATATGTTCAAGAGGGAGGGGGGGGGGGGCATAAGTGTTTCACAAACATCTCTTTTTACATTCATATTTATAATTTGCTTGTCAGCAGGGGCATTTGTGTCACACTGACACATTAGGTTTAAGATGGGAGATGTCTGTTTGACCATTAACCTTGAATAACATAAAACTTGTTTAGCTAGTAAAATGCAAGAAATTCAAAGTCAGCTTGCATTCATTTTGAAAAACAATTAATTTTGCTTTTGTGATTCATAAATTTTTTTTAAAATATACCGTAAAACAAGTTTTATTAGTGACCGGCAAAGTTAGGGATTTTATCCAAAAAGTGGCAAATTATTATTTGCGTAGTTAATTTTTAATGCTTTTAGGAATAATTTAATGTATTTTCTTATACAATATTTATAATTGAATTACATGTATTAGCAATACTTAATTTTAGCGATAACAAAACCATCGCTTATAATGCCAAAATTAAATAATCGTTGAATACAGTTGAACTTCAGTATCTCGAACACAGATATCTCAAATACCATGGATATGTTGAAGTGATTGGGAAGTCCTAACCACATATTTCTTAAGTATTTTTCCCTGGATATCTGGAACCCTCGGATATCTCTCAGTTTTTTTTCTCAGTGCCATCGAGTTTCAGATAACGAAGTTTGACTTTATTCCCATTATGTGGTAATTATTACCAGTATAAAGAGTATTTATTTGCCAGGCCCATAGGAAGCAATTTCAGTTTGGGGGGGGGGGGGGGGCACAACCAAACATTTTCAGTTTGAGGGGCACTACCACGCAAAATTTCCTTGACAAGCAAAAAAAGTCATAACTGATTAGATGTTATTGAGGGGGTACAAGAATAAAGTATCTATGTTTTCTATAGTATACTATTTATTGGCAAAATTATTGGCCTCGGGAGATTGACATGCATATAAGCTCTTGACCTCTAACTTGATGAAATTTACATTCAGCTGTAAATATTAAGAAATTAACATTCTTAACTTCAAAGAGAAAACATTTGGAAATGTAAATATATGTATATGACTTTGCTTTTATTTCAGTTCCAGTCTCCTAGCTCAAGCTTTGCTGCCCCTACGCCCAGGACAAACAAGAGCTCCGAGGACAAACGATTGTTAGTCAAGGTCATCAAAGCAAGTGGACTGGCCACCAAAGGTGCTACAGGTAGGATGGAAGTTTTCCAGTCTTTGATGACTAAATTAAAGATCATGGTTATGGAGAAGACTTATATAGGCAATGCTTACTGCCAAATCTGTTTATGTATTCATGCAAAATAAAATACATGTATGATAAATTTTTAAAAATTTGAAATCACTGGCAAGCACTGCTTTAATGTATTGCTTTCAAAATGGTTGAAAGTAGTTACCGGTACATTTCTTCAGTAAAATTCATTTAATTGATACATAATTATTGTTTTGACATGGACTCCTAGTCTATTGCTCTTGATTTCAAATTTCAGATAAAGATAAACATTCTTTCAAGTTTTATTTGGTGTTGAGGGATTATATTTTTTCATAGATTGTATGAAATTTCTGCTATGTCTTGCTTTGAACCAGGAACTATAGATCCTGCCTGTGTTGTGTTTATGGACAATCCTCCCCAGAGCCAGATCACCAGTGTTGTCAAAATGTCTGTCAACCCTTTCTGGGACGAACAGTTCTTGTTGTGAGTAAATATCATGAGAAATATACCAACAGTCTGTGATTTTGTAAATTTCAAAAATATTGCATCATTTCTGTTCAAGATTTAATGACAGCATAGTTACTTTTAGCTTTAGAATTAGCTTAGTTTTGATTTGTAAATCAATTTTTAGTACAATGAAGTCATTGGTTTCTTTTTTTTTTTTAGTGATCTCACTGGAAATACAAAGGAGCTGAAGTTTGAGGTCATTGACAAAAGCAGACCTACTGGAGGTAATGTGTAGAAATATGTCTTTCCCGAAGTTGCCAATATGCATCTATTGCTGACTTTACCTTCAAATATTGTATAAATATCATGATTAGACCACTTGTTTACAGAAAATATTTTGTGAACTGGGTACACTTTCTGTCATTCTTATTGCTTGAATCTTGGGGGGAAAAATGTTTTGCAATTGTTTATCTCTGACTACGAAAAATATGAAAAGTTGTTAAGGTATAATCAGAAATGTAAGTTACTGAGACGTGGAAAGAACATTGACTAATTCAGTATTTATTTCTGGTAGAGAACTTTCTTGGTGAGGCTATTGTGTATTATGATGACATTAAGAGGAATGCCAGCAGTCGGCAGATCATCCCTCTACAGGGTGTCACAGATGACGGTAACATGGCTAGTGGCTCCATCACTGTGGAGGTTTGTCTTCTGTGTGAAATGTTGCATCATTATTTTTTATATAAATTAGAAAGTGGGAAAAAAAGCTAGCTAATCATGTTTTGATATTAGAAAGGGCCAATACAGAGTATTTGGTAGAATAGATTAGGACTTTAGCATATATACATGAAGTTTTGAAGAGATTTAACATTGGTGACATTTTTGTCTTGTGTTATATTGAATGATGTTACATCTGTTATTCTGTTAATGTATTGTTCTTATCTGGTAAATGTTTTTATTTAATTATGTAAATTCAGTACTCCAGTGGAAGCAAATTTTCCCAAAAAAAGTTCTCTCAGTGGAATTTCTTCATTTCAAATAAATGATGTCTCTGTTTAGTACACATTCAAGTGTATAATTGCATCTTTTCCTTCCTCGAGTGTAAGGAAATGATCATTGATCTGTGCATTGGAGAATGTCTAAAAGGAGTACTGCATTTGCAATGTCAACCTTTCTGTAATTTAACAATATTTCTTTAAAATGGATAGATTTTAAGAATATTTAATTTTCACATGCATCTTTATTTTAATACCTCAAATGCTGTAGCTATTTAAATAGGAAAATGCTGTGGATTTTACAGGCAGATAAATAAAACGTCTGCTCTCAGTGCAATCATTTTGGAAATGTTTAAATTAAAGGGGAAAAATTAAAAAAGAAAATGACATGTGTTTTGTGAAATTTTTCAGTTTTGCCACCCTCAGAAATAGGTCTTTTCAGCCAAATCTTCCCTTTGATGTATATATGTGTGCCATATTTATCACGTGTGGAGTTATAGACTTTCTAGTTGTGTTTGTTTCCATGGTTTCCGAGTTCATCATTTTGAGGATATTTGTTACCTTGACAATGGGTTTTTGTATAGTACAGAAGGTGAGCTTGTGATTTTAGGGAATATGTCAAAAGCATTTTGGATGATTGGTGTTGATTATGTGTACTTTTTGCATATCAAGTCTGGAAAGTAGAGTTACACATGTAGTAGAGTTGTTGTTCCATGGTAATAACAATTATTGCGAAGACTACATTTTGGGTAATGATGAATGGCAATTAACTTGGTTGCTTGAAGAAAACTACACTTAATCTGGTAGCCATTATTAAAGATGGCTGACTACTCAAAATTAATAAAAAAAAAAAAAAGATATCAGACATGTCATTTTGGAATAAGGGAATAATTTGTTCTATTTTTTGCTGTATGTAAAATCCACAGAATATCTGCAAGAAGCTTATATAAAAGATAAAAGTATGTTGGCATTTGTTATTTCAAATATTGATCTTCATCAACAATATAGAAAAATAATCTGTAATTGAAGGTCAGTATTTTCAGTGAACGTTTTGCATTGGAAAAACAAGTACTTAGTAATAAAGAGGCAGAGGAAAAGACTAAATTAAATGTAAAACAAATCTTATAGTTAGCAAATGCCAAAAAAGAAATATCTATAGAAATGGCCAGTGCCAAAATCAAAAGTGCAAAAACACAATATTAATTTGCTGAGCTACTTTGCGCTGGTTTCTATCTTAACTGGTAGTCGGCCTTCTTTATTTTAGCAAAGTTCGCACTTTTCCTGTCAGTTGAAATCATATCACATGTGCTAAATCTGTTTTTGTCTGCTGGTGGGTGCCAAGAAAACTGCATCAGTGGCGTACATGTATATATATATTTAGGAGATCTGTTTACTGCTGATCTGCTGCTCTGCATTTGAATGCTTGGAATGTCCAATAGAGATATGTTATTGAAGTCTTAGTACAGTGATGGAAAAGGAATGTTGCTCTGCATGGCATAAAATAAACTTTAAAGATACGATGATGTAAAACTGCAAACCAATACTGTTTATTTATTGCAGCTCTGTGAATATAGACACCATAATTCAGAAATGTAGAGACCTTCCAAAGTTAAATTTATGCCAGTAGTTGATTAGAGAGGAAGTAATTGTTCTGGCAGTCATGCATTTAATTAGATACCACATCATCACTTAATTCCTCCTCTAACTATATTATTCATCACTTCCTTAGAAAATCAGCTAGAATTGCATTTTACTTCTCAGCTCTTAATGCAGAGAAACTTTGCTTACGTATATACATGCGTATATGTTTATTATGTATTTATATCATATGCTATCAGTGCATGGAAAATAATGAAAATTATTATAATATATTTGTATATTTGTGTAAACACCGTATGTACAAGCTTTTAAATAAGTAGGTGCCAGAAAGGTAGATAATGAGCTTAATTAGGGTTGCTATCTTTTATATATCTTTATCATTTAAAACAGCTAGTTCTTTGTTTTCCAATCCCCAGATATTTAGTCTCTTTGTCTGTCTATCTGTAACTCTGTCAACTCTATTGAACTAAACAAGAGGGAAGCTTCATATTTAAACATTTTGAGGTTAAGGTCACTCATGAAGATCAACTACATGTAGGACTATATATAGTTTGTTAGGGCATCATGCATTGCAAAGATTGAATATATACCGATTTCAACAGTAAAAAATGTTCTAAACATTTTTTGAACAGTTTCTGTTTTTGGACCCTGTGGACACTAATGGGTTGGGACCAGTAATGAACCAAAAGAATGTGACTTCTCCAAAGAGAACAATCCAAGTGAATCAGGCCAGAACACCAGGGGGCACTCTGGTTACCACGACTACAATGACAACAGAAAGACAACAAAAAAATCAGAGATATGAGGCTGCAGTTGATGGTATGCTGATTTTATGTTTATGTCATGTATAAATGCTGCTCATAAAAAATTATTCAAAAATATATATGAGACAATGACAGGACATTGTAGCATAGCATTAGTTTTAGAGTCCTCTAAGCGATTCAAACAAAGTCCAGTCTCTTTCCTTTATTAACTTTGAGTTTGTTTACCTCAAATTTGGGTCAATTACATTTACCAATCTCAGATATATTGATAATTTATTATTTAAGTCACTTTCACATATCCATTTGATACAGAGCAGAAATGGCTTATCAAAATCTACATGGTATGGCTTATATCTACTAGCTGGCCTATTTCCTTTACTATGCATACCATGTATCTTTTTTAATGACTTAATTAGAGAGAAACAAAATTCTGTATGAATGTTTTATATGTTTACAAATAAATTGTGTAGTGTGTTTGTACCGATGTATACTCCTTATGATTTAATTGAAAAGTTGGAAAGAGGTATCTACAAATATCACCTCCACAAAGAATGGTTTCTTGTTGTGTGTTTTATACAGTGCATGGTACTTTCTTTCACTAAATAGATTCAACAAGCAAACTGTATACTGAAAGCAGATCGAGTTGCAAACAAGAATATTTACACATAAAAATGACATTTTCTCAATATGAAAATAAAGCTTGAGGCTATAACAACAAAAAGTATGTAATTGCTTACTTATCAGAAGAAAAGCATTAAAAACAAAGCATAGAACAGTAGAATTTCTGAATGAAATTTCTGGTTTCTGAATGTCATTGTTGGGTGAGTTACTTGTAGAAAGTTTGGTTTGGAAGCAACCTTTTAAGATATAGGGTGTTGCAGAAGCTTTAATATTAAGCATGTTTTCTGAAGCAAAAGAAAATGGTTGAATGAAATTCCGGCTTTTTGTATGCTAAGAAATTTGACAGTATTGTTGCTTTAATCTGAGATTATATTAAAATTTTTTTTTTGGCATGTATCTCCTACTTTTTTTTCAGCATCCCCACATTTTATAGAGAAGCAAAATGTTTTTGATTTTGATATGTCGGAAAACACAAGTATAGACACATTGAACACAACCAACGCCAGTATGCATCAACAGAATTTGTCTCTGTCCTCTTCAGGTAAATTTAGTCATTCAAACTCTTACTAATGCTAATCTTCAAAGCCAATGGTTTCTCTGTAGCCTTGATGAATAATCACTTGAACAATCACTATGAAAACTGGTCTACTCCTAAATCACTTCTGTCAAGTCCTCTGGTCTGTCCAAAGCTCATCTGAGCTTGTGTTGACTTTTTACAGCCATACTGACTTTTAATGAAGTTTATCTTTTCTCATCTTTGAAATATTGAATTTTGTACAATTGTATTGTTATCCTTATATCAGCAAATATGCTGATACATGTCATACATCTCCTTTCCTTTTCTTTCTTTTTTTTTTTTGGCCCTTGATATTGGAGAAGAAGAATGATATTGTTATCTGGTTTGTCCATCTGTTTGTATATCCTAGCTATAGCTATAATTTTTAAAAGTATATACAATATATAGAACACAATGTAGATTCCTAAATATATGTGAAGAATTTATCATCGCGTAATCACATAAGAACCACTCGCAAAAAAAGGACTCATTATTATTTTTATGATGCTGTAATACATGTAAAAAGTCCTGATTAACAGTCCACTTGTGAATCAAGGTTCTTGCGATTTAACAATATAAAATACTTGTGTAAAATAAGGAATTAACAGTAGTTTACATTACTCGCGTATGTGTTTTCATAAAGATCAAGTTGATTCATTTTTTGAAAAGGTCAACTGATAAAAACACACATTTTATTATTTCATTTAAGATTTTTTTTAAATGACATATTCTTCTTTAATTCATAATTCATAGATAAAAAACTAATACCAATGTTGCATTTTCCCAGAGTGAGCAGATTTATCTTTTCTTATTTTTGCAAGTTGAAATTGATCCTGTGTTGAGTTTGTTGCAGTTTCTTGTAGTGAATAGTAAAAATGGATTTTAAAGCAATGAGACAATAAATAATGATAATACAAAGAAATGACCTCTTTCCAACTAAAACATATGCACCATTAATTTACGTACATGTAAACCCCCCATGTCTGTCACATGTTGTCAACACTCTCTAGCACAATCCCTAATTTTCAGACTATGGACATGGTGATGTTCAAGTAAGTAAAAATGACCATCAGTTTGATGCCTGTTACCATTCATGTGTGCTCATGCTGTGAACATCCCTGCATGACAGAATATTCACACCAGGAACCCCCAATATAGCACATTTACTTGTGTACCTTGCTATATCTTTAATTAAATGTATTTTTAATACTGGTTAATTTTATTATGTATATTTGATAAAATAATGGGAATGTGTTAGGGTCAAATTCTAGTAAATGAGTTTATACTGTCTTTTTAGTGCTAGATCCATTATGACGTCTTCATTTAAATTTACTTTTTCTTGTACTTGACAGCTATAATTATATTATGCAGAAAATTACATACAGTTGAACTTTATAGTAGTCAGTTTTCACTGATATCTCAAATTCCAAAAATATGTCGAAGTGATTTAGTAATGCCCAACCACTTTTTCTTTATGTTTTTACCCTTGTTATTTCAAATCCTTGGATATCTTCAAGTTTAATCTTGAGTTTGAGATAACGAGGTCTCTCTGTATTAATTTCATGAATCTTGGTAAATTTGAAATCAAAAATGTTCCAGATACCTGTATTTAATTTCATTTTAAAGAGGAGGTCAAGAACATATAAATAACCGTTTTCTGAGAAACTGTGGACAATCTTGATACATATCCTTTGTCTGATATAGAAAAAAAACTCACACATATTTATGATTTTTTTTTTCATTTTTCATTGAAAATGACAGTTTAAAAATTGTTTTATTGTTGTGTTTACATGAAAAATATGTCCCAATACACTTTATTTTACCAAGCTATAGTTATAAAGCATCAGGGATTCATTTCTCAAATTCGGAAATTCTGTAAGCACCTTGCATTTACTAGATTTTGACCTTAAGGAAGTAATAATGCCGTGGTATTTTCATAATCGGAAAAAATAATTTTATATGGCCTAAATGCCCTCCCCCCCTCCCTGGAAAAAATTATGAAGCATTTAGAATGAGAAAAGCCATGAAATGGCTAAAACCTATATTGGAATGTAATTGGTAATGAATATGTAATAAAAGACGCAATACTGCCCAGAAGGTTTTATGCCAATGGTATACTGAAAATTGAAGTACGCACATAACATAATACTAATCCAAGTGTGTATTTAGAATTGTTTGCTCTATATAGCCTGTTTTATTGGCATGCGTTTTCATGTGCTTCCTGTGTTTGCAGCAGAAGTAGTTACTATGAATGGGGTTGAATCAGTGGCTGAGACGGCCATTCGTGAGTTAAAGGACAGGAGGTTCAAATCTAAAACTCCATCTAGGACTAGTACACTCATCATTACAGGGGTCCAGAAGGTAAGGCTTGACAGGCAACAAAGGTCAAAGTTAGGTAAGGCTTGAAGTTCACCAAAGGTCAAAGTCAGGTATGGCTTGAATGGCACCAAGGTCAAAGTTAGGTAAGGCTTGAATGGCACAAAAGGTCAAATTTAGGTAAGGCTGGAAAGTCAAAGTTAGGTAGGGCTTGAAGAGCACAAATGGTTAAAGTTAGGTAAGGCTAGAAGGCCTCCAAAGGTCAAAGTAAGGTAAGGCTAGAAGGCCTCCAAAAGCCAAAGGTAAGTAAGGCTTGAAGGACACCAAAGGTCAAAGTTAAGTCAGGCTTGAAGGGCACCAAAGGTCAAAGTTAGGTAATACATGAAGGGCAACAAAGTTCAAAGTTAAGTAAGGCTTAAAGGGCAATGAGGTTCAAAGTTAGTACAGTATATTACAATTGAAAAATATTTATATACATGTAATAATGTTCAGTAATATTCCATTATTAGTACATGCAAAAATTCATTAATACCATTATGTTGACTATCCTCTGCATGCAAATGCTCATTTTTATTCCAAGCTGATCTCATAGCAATGCCATTGAAGGCTATGACATCATTGTCTTAGTCATTGGGAGTTTGCATATCCTTTCAGTTAAAACTTAACTCTGGTTTAAACTATAACTTTGTTGAGGGTGTATTAAAGAGTAAAGTATTTGTCTCTGTGTCTCTTTAAACGAGATAATTTTGATATAAGCTCTATTGTGCACCCCAAATTAGTACATGTAGTACATTTTGTAGATGTCATTTACATAGTTAGCAGGATTGAGTTACATGTACTACTAACTGAGTATAGATAAACCATAAGCATGCTGAATTTGATATATATTAATACAGTTTCTAAATTATAACCCTGTTGTAGAATAATTATAAGTTTTATAACTCCTAAGTTTTTATTTGAAATTATTTATTGATATTAAAAGCTCTATCAGTTTACTGTTATTGAACGAAGAAATATTCATGTATCTGTTTATTAATAAAAACTTAAAAACTTGAATATGATTCAACAATATAAAGCATTTTCTTCAATTTAGAAGCAAATTGGTATAATCAGTTTCATTATTTGAAGAGTCCTGAAGAGGTGCATCAGGATGTTCCCGTGGTAACGACCCAACCTCCATCACCAGGTCATCAAGATCCTAAAGGTAACTTTTTTTACTGAGGATCAAATATTTATCCTTACCTTTTATGAACAAGAACATTACAAATCATCTTTAAATGAGGATCAAAATGCTTACACAGCAATGATCCTGATTCATGAAGTATTCTTAGATAGCAGAATTGGCCAGAAATTCTTGTTATTTATTCTACTGAAATTTCAGAGATATCTTCGCAGCTGTAATGCTATTTTTACTTTCCCCATATTTTGCTACTTTAGTGCTTTCACTTGTATATAAACATAGATTAGCACATTGCTCACAAAAGCTTCACTATTACATCACAAAACACAGGGTTATCTCAAATTTGAACAGCACATCGCAACACTCAGCACAGAAGTCACAAAGGCTTATAATGGGCATAAGTTGTTTGCTTCATGCTTTGCAGATAGAAAGAAGGGCATGTCCCTTGCAAGGCAAATCAAGAAAAGATTTTCTCGCTCAAAGAAGCGCTCACGCAGTGCTGAAAGGTCGAGCAATTCTTTGAGAGAAGGCTCAAACTATCTTCAGCCACCTGACTCTGGCCACGGGAAGCCACAATCTAAAGGTTCACTTGCATCCCCGTGTTCTGGTTCACTGAATGTTGTTCATGTTTCTAGATTTTGTCCCAGTAGCTGGTTTTTGGATTTGGTTCCCATTTTTATATTACTGTTTTATTGTTTGCACAAACGCAATAAGCATAGCATTTAGTTTCTAAACCAGGAAAGTACAGAGTACATTTAGTTGTTAGACATGTAGAAAATATATAGCTGTATACAGTCAGTAAAATGCATGTACTATATACATGAATGTTTAATATTTATATTCCATTTGCACTCAGTAACAGTGTGATAAATTACATGTTTACAGAGCACAGAACTGTATGTCCATTTCCACAAATTCACAATATCTCGTTTAATATGAACATGGAATATAGCGAATTCATGGATATAGCGAAGTTTTTTCAGATCCCCAATAAATTCTTTGCAAAAATTTACAGTTATAATATCATGAACTCTGATATAATGAATTTACAGATGTAACAAATTGGTTTTGTCCTGTATAGATAAAAATAACAAAATTTACGTCTTTTTAAGTGAATTTTTAAAATCTCGCAATTGAAAATATTGAACTGAGTTTTTTTGTTAGTATTTATATTTGAAACTCATCTGAAAATTTTGTATCCCAAAGTAAGTATTGCATTTAATACTTTCCCTGAACAAATTAATTAGTCCAATGTATATTGCGAATTTGTGTATTTTTTTGTAATTTTTGTAATATATATATACATGTACATTAATGAATTCAGTAAACGAATATAAAGAATAACAGATGTAGCGAAGTAAATTCACAGTCCCCAGGACTTGGCTATAACCAAGTTTTACAACAACATAAGCCAGTCATAGCCTGGTTCTTTTTTTTTTGTTTTTTTTTTTTTACATCTGTTAAAAAGGGAAGTTACTCTAAAACCTTCACGTGGTGGATCTTTTTTTTCTTTACCATGAAAAATATTTAATACTTAGAAAAATACAATGTTCTTTGACTTTATTTTGATTTTCTTCAGTCTTATTTTGATACCAGGGGCAGTCCTCAAAAAACTAAGCTTCGTATTAATTGGAATATAAAAGGCTTTCTAGATGAAAAGTAGGAGAAACCATTGTAGACAAAAAAAAAGAAGAAACAGTATATTTATAAATGCACTACTGATTTGTACATTGCATGACCTACAAACACACCATAGCTTTGGCACAAGATAGATAGCTTCCTTTGCTTTTGCTACCAGTTTCACATTGTGTTGGTTTTATATTTATTTAGTTATTAGCATTAAAATATTTTATTTCCAGTAGTAGATTAGAAAAAGGTTGGAAATTTTGAACATTTATTGGACATACTACTAAACATATTTCTAAATGAACTGCAAAATCTAGATTGTATAGATTAATTTTGTTTTTTCTGTAGGTATGGAAATTCATACCAAATTCTGTTTTTTTTTCTCCAGATGACATTGAGTTAGTAAGGGGAAAAGCAGAGCCCCCAGGAACACCAAATCTGAAGAAATCTCGTTCCCTTGGGGGAAGCCTTAAAAAACTGTTCCGCAGGGGTAGGAAGCAACAGCGAACACAAGGGGAAACTTCAAGGGAAAGTTCATTTTCTCGTTCCTCAACACGCAATGTCTCACAAGGCCCTTCCAGGGAGGGTTCATTAAACAGAAATGTTGATCCAAAGGATATGCAATATCAACAGACATTAATTTCATAGCATTTGTTAATTAAATCATAAAGTATGAGAAAATTTTATATATATTTTCATATAGAAACTATTGGTACAACTCATGAAGCTGTAGCATAGCTAGTATTTATTTTTTTTTTTTTATTTATCAAAAAAAAAAAACTCCTTTTGTAACTGAGATTTGATTTAATCACAACTGCAAAGATATGATAAATATTATCATTGCTTTCTTTAAAAGAAACAGATGTTTTCATGGTGAAAAAAAAAGAGCATTGCTTTTATCTGCATATGTTGATCTGAGAAGATTGTTGAATATTTTTCTATCATTGATGTTTACAAGTGGTGAAAAATAATGGTCCCATGTGATTTATGTTTAAGACTGGAAGTGTAAATTTACATTTTATTAGTTTTGTTTTATAGTCAATAACAGATTGACTTGTACACATAGACACATCTGATCTAGCATAAGTAAAGAGTTTGTAACGGTCAAAAAATGCTTTTGAATTGAATTTATATAATGTATGCAAGGGTCCTCCTGTCTGGCATTAATTTTTATTCAGTCATTAATTTTTGACACCCAAAGTATCAATCAGCTTATCCATGAAAAAAAAAATATTCCTATTACTGTAAAAGTACTTTTTTTCCAGGTAGTATTAATTTAGGTTAGGTACACAGTCACAAATTTTCCACAGAAATTAGTCGCAGCGCACTTAAAGTGCATTTAGTATATATAAAGGCTATCCAAGAAATCCGTTTTATTTTGCGTGTAATTAAGATTGTGATTCCACGGGATTATGACCCCAAGTAAAGAGGGTATGTTTACAGTATGTAAAGAAAAATACACCATAGTTTTTGCATTCAAAATTTCCACCCATTGTCACCTCAAAATGAAAACAGACCATGTACATACATACAAATACATCATTGTAAACTTTTATATACTCATATGGGATGTTTGAGCATAATATTTTCACCTTGTAAAAATTGCCTTAATTATTGTTCCCCAATGTGATTTTCCCCTCTAAATATACCTCCTGTAAAAATGTTTTATTAATTTTTTGTGTACATTTTAAGAGCTTTGCAGTAATTTAAACATTGTGTTTTTGCTACCTGTAAATATTATGGTTTTTGTGCATTGTATTAATTTAAACTGTATTAGTATTGTAAAAACTATTATAAGTGAATTTCTTTATTGGCTCACAACCAATTCTCGGATAAGTCTGTAAAATCTGTGATAGGACCAAATTAAAATATTTTCTGCTGATGAGCTTGTTTGTGCCATAATTGGCAGTAAGTTTTGATAGCTTCTTTCAGTATAAACTCTGAAAACACATAGATAAATAGTCCTAATCTAAAAATAGCAAAGTTCAGTTTGCAAATGAAGATTTTAATTTTATGTTGCCCCTCTTTGGTAAATTATTATGTTTTATTTCTTTTAATTAGATTCTTTTTGATTAAAATGAACTTATTTGTATCATTTACATGAGAAAAGGCTGTATTCTACACAATTAATAAGAAAAAAGGAAAAAAATACCATAGAAATTAATAACACATTTGCACATGCGGAACATACTGAAAATCCATGTATTTATGAGGGCATTGTGCAGAATAAATGTGCTTTTTATAAAAACTTGGTTGGAATCATGAATTTGTGTGATTTTTGTCACCCTGTTAACAAAGAGAAAAAGTGTCTGAGAATGGTCAATGCCCACTAAATTTTAAAATTATGAGTTTAATAAGGGTTAGAAATATATTTGACCTTTGTTATGTTGTCTCTTTACATATGTCACTGATTGTTTTTTTTTTCTTGCCAATGAATCAATTGCATTGAATTCAGGAAGTTTGTTACACTTATGCGGAATACAGTTTTATGTGAGGTTCTTTAATTTTTTAAAGATCGTTTGAATTAATTTTTTTTCTTCTTTTTTTTTCATGAGTTATATATAATTTACAGACCTGAAATAGAACTTAACAAAAATTTAAAAAATCAAAAGACTTAAATTAAAGATACATATTACCTCAAATAAATGTTCTTAATGTATCTCCCACACAGAAGAGTTCCATTGCTTTTTTTCAATAATTCTTTCAAAGAGAAATCAAATTCTGAAATTTTATAATGATATTGAACTGTATAGAGTTACATTTTCCCACCTTTTTCTTTTTGACCAAATTGTGTGACTTGGCCAAGAATAAAGTTGTTTAAGATATCACTTGCTTAGTGAGAAAGGCAACTATTTAAGCAAATCAAGATGTATGAATTTTGGGAAAAAAATTATTTATCCTTAATATGAATTCTACGTCTTTGAAAACTTTTAAGGCATTTGGATTTATACGTATTTCAGAATACTGCTAGTTTGTCCAGCTTCCAATTACAATAAAGATCTCTTGACTTATTACTAAGGTTGTGAAATGTTGTGACAAGTAGACCATTGAATCACAGATAAATTTATAGTTTTAACACCTTGATATACAACTAAAACTTGGTATGTAATGGAGAAAAAAGATTTCAGAGAAATGGTGTTTATTCTTGGTTTCATGTACAAAAATCTGAGATCTCTTCTTAAAAAATAATGTAATACTGATATTTTGGAGGACAATTAAAAGAGTTTACATATTATGTGTAATTATATCTATTTTGTTATAAGTTGTGTTATTGTTAATTTAAAATTGATTACATTTATAAACAAAAATGATGAATGTTTGAAACAGTATTTTTGTGCAAATCTAGTCCACTTAAAAATGATGTATTGTTTGAAGATTTTTAATCTTGAAATGTTCTGTGAACTTTTCTTTGAGAAATATACTAAATATTTCCTCTTCTATGCATGCATGCACACAAAAAAATTGCTGCATGTGTAAATTTCTATTTTTATTAGGTCACCTGAGTCACTCAGGTGACCTATTGCTATCTGTTTTTGTCCGTCGTCGTGAGTCTTCCGTCGTGCGTTAACTTTTGAACATTTTTAACTTCTTCTGTAGAACCGCTCAACCAATTTCAACCAAATTTGGTATATAGCATCTATGGGTGAAGGGGAACAAAAATTGTGAATTTCATGGTCCCTGCCCCCCTCCCCCCCCCCCCCCCCCCCGGGGCCTGAGGGGTGGGGCTAAAACCACCAAAAATAATGCAATCTTTAAAAATCTTCTTCTTTACTCCTGGACATGAAGCAGTCAAACTGTTTGCATCATTGTAATAAGCATTGAGCCCTCTACCAAAATTGTGAAATTCATGGCCCCAGGGTCAGGGGTTCTGGCCCCAGGGTGGGGCTATATAGATCATATAGTGGAAGTGCATTAATTCTTTGAAAATCTTCTTCTCTGCTCCTGGGTATTAAATAAAGTTACTAAGTACATAGTTATGATGAGCAAGAGTGCCTCTTCCAAAATTGTGAAATTCATGGCCCCAGGGTCAGGGGTTCTGTTGTTAGGGCGGGGCTCTATTGATTATATAGTGAAAATGCATTAATTCTTTGAAAATCTTTTTCTCTGCTCCTGGATATTAAATAAAGTTACTAAGTACATAGTTATGATGAGGAAGAGTGCCTCTTTCAAAATTGTGAAATTCATGGCCCCAGGGTCAGGGGTTCTGGTGTTAGGGCGGGGCTCTATAGATTATATAGTGAAAATGCATTAATTCTTTGAAAATCTTCTTCTCTGCTCCTGGGTATTAAATAAAGGAACTAAGTACATAGTTATGATGAGGAAGAGTGCCTCTTTCAAAATTGTGAAATTCATGGCCCCAGGGTCAGGGATTCTGGTGTTAGGGCAGGGCTCTATAAATTATATAGTGAAAAAGCATTAATTCCTTGAAAATCTTCTTCTCTGCTCCTGGGTATTATTTAAACAAACTAAGTGTATGGTTATGATGCATAAGGATGCCTTTTCAAAAATTGTGAATTTCATGGCCCCAGGGTCAGGGGTTCTGGTGTTAGGGTGGGGCTCTATTGATTATATAGTGAAAATCTTCTTCTCTGCTACTGGAGACTATTTAAACAAACTAAGTGCATGGTTATGATGCATAAGGATGCCTTTTCAAAAATTGTGAATTTCATGGCCTCAGGGTCAGGGGTTCTGGTGTTAGGGCGGGGCTCTATTGATTATATAGTGAAAATGCATTGATTCTTTGAAAATCTTCTTCTCTGCTACTGGAGATTATCTAAACAAACTAAGTGCATGATTATGATAGACAAGGATGCCTCTTCCAAAATTTTTAAATATATGGCCTCAGTTTTTGGGGTTCTTGAGGAGGGGGGGGGGGGGGGGGCTAGGGCAACAATGCTTCATCTATCTGTGTATTTAACTTCTAAATTGTTGTATTATACTCAGGTGACCATTAAGGCCCTTGGGCCTCTTGTCAAATTTTTGGTGATGATCAAAGTACCCAATAATAATAAAAATGATAACATAATAAAGAATGTCTTCTGACATTATAACAAGATAATGCTGAATATAGTAAAGTTCAAGTAGTCAGGAAAAGTGCTTTGCTGTTTATGTTTCATTGATCTCCAGTATAATTTGAAAATTTTCAAGATATTTTTAAATATATATTCCTTGCTGAGCTTTGTATTCTTATGCTGTCTGTTTTTCATATTTGAGTGCATTTTCATTTTTTTTCCCCCTGTTTAGGAAATGAAAAGCATTAGGCCTGTATACTTGTCATGTAGTTTGATGTATTGTACATGAGTGTCCTGAACATTTTTTGATGGCTGTTGATTTCATTTTCTAAGCCCTTCTTGCTTATTTGATTTACACTTTTTTCGTACTGTGACCTTGGCAAATCATTTAAAGTAGAAAAAATATTTGTACAAAAACAAAATTAACATTGACTAAAATTGAACTTTGAAAACATTTCAAATGTTTTTACAACATTTTTTTAGGACTTGACACAATGCATTAGAAATTTAATTTTTTTATTCTTCCGAGTTTTAGTATTTCTTGATTTCAAGTGTCTTACCAATGCATGTGTAGAAGATTTGATTTTATTATGTGAGTGTGTAGGACCAAAGATACATGAAATAAAAATGCCACTGTATTGATTTTTTTTACTTAATATATTTGAAAGAGGTTATTTCAATCTGTAACTTAAACTTCAGTTTTTATCTTCATTAAATTCGCATGGTTGATTTGAAGTCAGCCTTCATGCTTAGTTTAAATTATTTTCAAAGACGTTTAAATATGTAATTATGAGCAAACTCATTTATTCTGAATTAAGGACATAAGCAATGTACCTTACCTACTGATAATTTTTCAAGATATTCTTTAGTTAATTTAAGAATGTAGTGCCATCAGATGTTCGTAGACAAAAAATCAGCATGCATTACCAGGGGTTTTGAAAAAATATCCATTGATGACAATTCTTGTATAATTCAAAGAAAAATATACCAAAATTACTAAACATATATTCTAGATGTTTTGTTTTATCCAAACTTGTTTTAAAAGAAGTGTACAACAGCATATATATAGACATTAAAATGTAACACACAGTTCCTTTAAGGTTTGGAACTCTTCAACCCCAGGGAAAAACACAATAAAGTTCAAACTACATTGCATATGTCCTTAAGGGTCGATCTCTTAATGGAAAAATCTTGTGCGAGATTCAAAACAGTGATTTATGATCACCCTGTATTTGCAGAAGAACTGTTTTTCAGTGTTTGCAACATTTAGCAGAACTTACCCTTTCATGTCACACACTTCCGCTAGAATAATCTAAAATAATAACATTTCAAATATAATAAGCAGTAATAATAATCATTACAATTTTAATTGTAATTTTGAAAATTTACAGCCTTAATATCCTTTTTCTGCAATGTTTTATTTATCATTGGTGGGAGCAAGACCTGGGTTTTGATTTGAGAACTGATAACTTTCATAAATACTGTTATAGAAAACCTGTTTTTGTTTAGATACACAAACTGGAGAGTAAAATAACTGACATTATATTTCCTGTCCCTATTTTTCCATATATATGCATTAAGAAACATGTGAAGAATTTTTCTTGATGTTAAAAAAGAAATGATGTATTGTTCCTCATTTTCGGCGCTTTCCAATGGGAATAGTAACAAAAGCCCAGGGATGAGTTGTGGCCTTTGTTTTAGATACTAAGGGAAACTTGTTGTTGACGGTTGGGCTAGTAACTGTTGATTTCTGAGAAGGAATAGTTGACTGTTGTGGTGTAGTTTTCTGCAGTGGAGTTGAATGTTGCAAAGTAGACGATTTAATGGTTGATACATTTTGAGTTACTGTAATTGGAGTTGATTTCGCTGTTGATGATTTAGCCACTGGTTTTGTGGTTGACCAGTGCCCTGATCGAAAGGTTGTCACAGAAGTTGGTTGTGTTTTTGAAATTGAAACCATCCCAACAGGCAGTGTCGATTGACCTCCCGTCTGCTTATGATGGACTGTGAGAGAACGAAATGACACTGATGAGACAGAAGCTCTACTGGTTCTTATTCATAAAAGCCTTAGAATTGAAAATTGATTTGAAAAAAAATCAACAGCGTATTCATTTTTTGAAATGTACAGTAAGCAAACAGCATGAGAATTAATAAAACTGTTAAATACAATTTACACCAGTAAATTACACACTTATATCCTAATATAGTTTACCAATGTTTGAAGTTTCGAAGAATAAAACTGATGCAGAAGCATCTTCACCTAATAATGACTTTTTATGGTATCTGACCAGTAGACGAAAATATGAAACATACATGTAAATGAGCGAGGCGAAATTCGATGTAGTTCTTTTCGCCATTTTGCATGCTTACCCAGAACCGCCTGCTGTAGAGTATCGCTAACACAAGCATTATTTCTGCAGCAGCGAGTCGAGCTTTTTAGATTTAAAAAGTCATCTTGCTGAGCATTTCTACATTCCAGATCCTACAGGTACAAAAGACATCACTTAGCTACTTAGAGAAATCATACATTGTTTTAAAGAATCTTGTGAACAGCTTTTAAAGGAATGGCAATTCAAATCAAGCAAAATTCAAGTTAGATGAAATAAGGGGGATTATATGAACCCTTTTCCTTTACTTTTTACTGCCATATAACATGATATCAATCACGATTGTTTTAAGCACAGGAGCTTGGGAATGGTATCATCCCATCCCCTAGTTCTATCTACCCCTCCCCTAGTACCACCAGATCTGTTATTTTCATGATTTATTTTACTGTGACAAATTTGCACTACTTTGAAGTTAAAAAATTCCTGAAAAATAAATTGAACAGACTTTCATTAATGGTTTGAGTTAAAATGATTGGGTTAAAGTTGAGAAGATTTTGCGACCGAGAGTCCAGTTGATATAATGAAAACGTACTTAATTTAGCGGTATGCATATTTCGACGCCTTTCGCACTACTTCTAATCGCTTATAAATTCAAGTTCACCCTAAAAATACATATAGTGGCTCTGCTCCGGATGTTCTTATTTATGATAACGTTAAGTAGTTCATGAGGATGATTGTGCTGAATGTGTGCCCTTCTTTATATGGGTTTACAGTGCATGTACCGACAATTCGAACTTACTAACGTGCATTTTGTCAGCAGTCTACCATCTTTGTATCTGATCATACACGTATTGTCACATTGTGTAGCAAATGACCGACACCGAAAAGTTAAATAATCGTCACAGGTTAAACAGGACAGTAATCGGGGTACGTGATTGGTCACTTTTTGTGATGACGTCACCATCATCTGAGTCGTGAGGCTGGTCAGCTGGGAAGACATTACTGACGGATATTTTGAGGTTGTCAGAGATGTTGGTTTGTAGACCCCAGTGTGCCCTGAAAACCAGTAGAAAAACAGCCATTAATGAAATAGGTTGATAACCTAGAGTATACTCACAACAATTTGATTTTTCAATGCAGTGTTTTTAAAACACTGATGCCCCCGTATGGCAGCTTATGGCGAAGGTTAAAGTTTTTCAATACAAGTCAAACTCCAAGGTCTAGGTCAAGAGATAAAAATGTTGTTACGCAAAGAAAGGACTCGTCTCAATGAAGCACCAACCGTTCTAAAGTTATGGCCAAGGTAAAAGTTGTTTAAAAGTGAGTCAAACTCCAAGGTCAAGGTCAGAGGGTCAAAATTAATGGTACCAAGGGGAAAGCCTTGTCAAATGAAAAATACACATGTGAAATACAAAACCCCTAGCACCAACTGTTCAAAAGTTATGGTCAAGGTTAAAGTTTTTCAAAAGTACGTCAAGGTCAAAATTGTTGGTACTTAAAGGAAGGCCTTGTCACAAGGGATACACAGGTGAAGTATAAAGGCCCTAGCTCCAACTGTTCAAAAGTTATGACTAAGGTTAAAGTTTTGAAAATTATTGCAAATGTGGGTCAAACATTAAGGTCAAGGTCAAGAGGTCAAATATGTTGGTATATAAGGAAAAGTCTTGTCACAAGGAATACACATGTGAATTATTAAAGCCAAAGCTCCATTCAATCAAATGTTATGGGTAAGTTAAAGTTTTTGCGGACAAACAGAAAATCAGACAAATAGACAGGCGGACGAACAGGGCAAAATCTATATGCATCCGATCTTTGATTAAGAGGGCATTATAAATCTACATAAAAAATTGCAATAGTTTACCATGAGAGTGGAACTGGCAAAAGCAAAAACACTGGATTTCCGCCCACGATTTGTATATCGTACAGATGATAGGATCATACGTATAGCACAGGGACACATGGTCTATACAGGCCGAGGGATCTGGAAATACACGTTGATACATTAGACCCATCCTATTTTACAGAACCATTAGATCAATTTTAGCTGCATTACTTTTTTTTTTTACAGATGTAAATTGTAAAAGTACGAGATAGTTATTTTGATCTCCAGAAATACTCAGTATAATGATACCTCTTTACTCCTTTTTACGATGGGAATGTCCAGTGTACAATGTAACTGTGAGTCAAATTCTTTTTGCTATGCTATAAATCTTGAATCCTTACCAGATATGTCTATGTGTAGCTGTTTCTCGGCCATACTTGTACATTCTGACAGGAAAGCTGAAGACAACACCGAAACAATGATGAACACAATTTCCATATCTTATACAATTAAGATTTATCCCAGCTACTTGAAAACTGGACAGTGTCCGGTCTTTGGAGGAATACATATCTCACGCCGCATAATCCTTACTAAGAGATAAAACTTAAAGGTCATTTATAAATGTCCAGTTGGTGCAAAACTGACAAATGACACTTAAAATTCTCTATGTGGAACCTTTACTTCCAGGTATGTAGTCTTAATACTTTGGTGAACGTGAAATTTAATCAGAATAAAAGTGAAATAATTGTGCTGATAAGATAGTAAAGATTTGTCCATTCTAATATTTCTGTGTACAAAATAAAATCTTTAATAATTTTACTTTGAAACAGTCAGACTTCACACTGTTATATATGCAGTTTGTGTTCTGTGGAAAGGGGGAGGGATGCAAACAATACTATATTGGCCCAGATTTTAAGAGGAATTATTGATAAATGTGAATTTGTTTTTCGCAAATCCAATAAATGTTGGGAGATATCCGGAACTTTGTGCACTTCAATCCTTGGAATGCATTTACCAATTCTGTTTCCAAACATGTTAATCCGGCTTTTATTTGCCATATCTAGTATTATCTACAAAATACAGCTGGTTTAGTAAGAATATAAACAAACAGCCAACATTCATCAGTGTTTATTGGTGATGGTAACCCAGACTTTTGGATTCGTTGGTACAGTAGCCTCTGTTTTTGGATCTCGAGTTGTATTCCCAGATATAGTCACTGAAATACATGCATTTTAATTTGAATTAACTTTGTGTGTACTCAGGCGACTACTAAATTTAATATTATTTTAATTAACTATGTAGTAAACGACATCACAATTTTATTATTGCATTAAGACATAATATAGTAGTTAAATGTTCCAGTTAATAAGAGCAAAGAAAAGTTTATTTGATTTTTATGACCACAATTTCATTAAACTTTATTGACACACCTTCTTTGAAAAAGTGTACACGTAAATTATATACAGTGGGATTTACCTTCATCAAATTTACAGAAACAGCGACACTGAATCTCCGCCCAGGATTTATACTGAGAACAAATTTCTGCCCCGTAGCTGGCACATTTTGCAACTTTATCACGACAACCTGAAAAATAAATAAATAAATTCTATTTTGTATACTGCACAAAAAAATGAATAAAGCAAAAATTGCGTCAAACAGATTGTTTTTTATTCATTAGTATAAAGATAATGGTTCGAAATACACGTACTATTATTACTAAAGGTTCAAAAATCAATTTGTTAAAGTTATCTACAATTAATAAGTTTAAATAAACTTTAAATTCTTTTAATATGATACAATATGGTTCAAATGATAAAATAATTTGGCATATATACAGTATAATATTCAAGTATTTACTAGTAATATTGTTGTCCCTGAATTTAAAGTATTGTCTTGTTTTCATATTGAAAACCAACCGACTTACCCTAACAAGAAATTACTATAGAGTAAACTATAATTTACTACAAAATAAACTATAAATTAGTAATCAAAATACATGTATTAAAATTTTTACCATAGTAATTTTCGTATTGTTTTTTTTATAATTAATTTCTATATTTTTTATATATTTATTGGAGAAATAAATTGCATTTTCTTTAAATTTACCATCGTTGAATCCGAAAGATAAGAATGCCTTAAATCTCATAAAAGTTCCATTTTGATTCAATTTTACATTAAATCCAAAAGCCATAGTAAATGTTCTAAGTAAAAACGTAAATTACTATCAGCAAATTATGCTTTACAATAATAATCTATCAACTAAAGAAAAATGTTGTCATTTTAATTTTGATGTATATAAGGTATTTACTTTTACGGTTTTGTTTGTTTTATTTTTTCTACTTGGAGGAATTTTGCATCGAAATTCTTTCAGATTTTCCATCGACCTGCTTATGTCCGTACGAATTTTAGAAAAATTAATTTCTATGTTTAAGTTAATATTAATATTAAATTGCATTTATGTGTTTCGAAGTAGGTATTAGTATTTTTATTGACATTACAATTTACACATATAAACAATAAATATATTTTTTTTAAAATTAAATAAAAGCAGACTACATTTCTGTTGCTCATAAAAAAAACCCCAATGTTTCCAAGAATAAGTAACTTATTAGGAGGATGTAGAGTTTTTTGTACTCCCAAAAACTGACTTACGAGTACAGAATATTATTTGACCTCTTACCGAGATTCGCTGTATGGGGTGTTGTCTCTGATGGTGGTGTAGATATGAATGGCGTTGATATTGGGTTACTTGATGACGTATCTGTTATTAAAAGTCAGATTGAGGTAAGATTTTATATATATATATATATATATATATATATATATATATATATATATATATATATATATATATATATATATACACAAGTGTAGGTAGTCCGATCCTCAGGTATTGAGTAATTGAAAATGCTCACAAAAATGTCTCTGAATAATAATGAGTATTTACCCATGGTAATTTTTCAAACTTCATAGGGAAAAATATGAAAATATATAAATTTTCAGCAAATATGAATAAAAAAAAAAACTGCTATGCATTTTCTAATTGAAAATTGATCAACAAATATATATTTTAGGATTAAAATTTTCAGGTATCCAGGTATCTTGCTAATAAACAAAGCTAGATTAAAGGAAATTCGACTTCTCTAAAAATGCATTAATTTTTTGTACTTTCATGGGGTACAAATGTCAACTTTTTACAAAACCGTATCTTAGACTTCAGAGAAACTTAAATCACACTGAGATGCATAAAATGAAAATTGTTGCACAAAGAGATTTCAATTTCAAGCTTCATTTTGAGGCATTTTAAATTAAATAATAAAATTAAGAGTTATCCTTCCTGGATATCCTTCCCTTTAATAAAATTTTGTTTTAAATTAGTCTGAGGCAGTTATAGTATACAGTCCATACCTGGGCAAAAGAAATTTATAGGTTCAAATGTATCTTTTGTAAACGTATTGTTAAGATCTGTGACGCTCTGGGCATTGTTGTTCAGTTTATCTGTCACTCTGTTAGTAAAAAGCACAAGACTGATCTTTACACCATCTCCCAGTAATATTTCTGCCGGTTCCGAAGCATTTTCTGGATGAAAGATTCCATCTGTCAATACCAGAAGTACATTATCTGCATCCGGCCGATCACCACTAGTGTTTGTGAAACTGGCATTGGTAACATATTTGAATCCCTCTTCAATGTGAGTAAATTTACCGATGTGGGTAATGTTTTCAATGGCCCTAATTACATCTGCCGATGAAGCATATTGATTCAAGTTAAATTCTAGCTTGGCTTCGTTGGAGAAACTAACGGCACCAAATTTTGTGTCATTATTGTACGAAATTGAACTTTGAACAAGTTCCTTCATGAATTCAAGTTGAGCATTGAACGAGTCGTTATTTTCACTTCCGCTGCTATCGATTAGGAAAACAACATCCAAAGGTCTGCATCCTTGACAAAAATGTGACAGTTTAACTTTTAATTACCTTGTGTAATTAAGGTTCATCAAATACGAAAATTGTATTTCAAAAAAAATTAGGGGAAAAACGATGAAAGCTTACCCGCTGTAACATTGTGAGTGCAACGTGTCATAAGAAATGTGGAAGTTAGAATTATGAAGAATAACATTCTTAAGTTGAACATTTTGTTATAACTGGAAATATCCAAATTCGAGGGCGCACTTTCTTATTCGATAACGCTGTTTGACCTTCCTGACACTGATAAGGAGTATTATTTTGAAATTCACAATATAAAACAAAAAAAGTCTCATTTCGTAGCATTGTATTTATTACATGTATCAAGATATGAATTCTGATGGTGTATAATAATCAATCACCACAGGGAACTGTGTGTACAGTTTTGAAGTCCATTTAGCAGGCAAGAACAATGCCAGAAAAAGTCTCCATATAAATAAATAGTATTTTAAAAATACAGGAGTAAGTTTTGGATAAATGATAATATTGTTGAAATGTTTATATAAATAATTAAAATATCATCAGTTTTACTGATATACGAAGATAAGATAGGAATTTCGTGGGTTTAAAAGAAACATACCAGTGTGTACAAGTTCAACGAATGTTATGAGGAACCGTTTTGGTTTGCTGCCATAAGTGATATCACTTATTCGAACAGGTGATATCACCTATGCAACTTTTGAATTAATGATATCAATTATTCGAATAAGTGATATCACCTTTTTGATTTGAATCGGTGATACCACTTATTCGAATAAGTGATATCACCTATTCGAATTGGTGATATCATCTATTTGACTTGAAATTGTGATATCACCTATTCGAATATTAAAATCAAATAAGTCATATTATCAATTCGAATATGTGACATCTCCTCCAAACTATGTATGAAATAATATCTGCTTCCAATGCAAGACTAAATTGTACTGCAAACATTTACTCTTTACACATGATACAGGAAGTAAACATTCCTGTCTCTTTGTACATAAATAATACTAACAGAGAGAAAGTATATCAATAAATATAGCAAAAATAACTGCAAGTAATGGTCCCTTTTTGTGCATATATATATATAACATACCCCCCCCCCCCTTTTGTGCAAAAACCGAGATCTTACAGCGAATATTAATTTGATCAATCAATGCCGAAATAGTAGAGGATGTGGCACAAATTAAGTTTATTCATTACAAAGAAATGATATCACCTATGCATTTTGAAAAGGTAATATCATCTATCTGCATATCATATTCGAAAAGGTGACATTACCAATTCAATTCAAATTGAATGTTTGAATAGGTGATATCACTTAATGGCAATACATACCAAAACGGCGCCTCATAGAATGTATTTTGTAGATCCAACCCTTCCCCCTATGCTCATAAAAGAACAGTCAGACGCCAAAATGTGGTGGTGTTTTTTTTTTATTCCATACTTTCAAAGTTTCAAATATAAACAAGTTTCATTTGATCCTGTTGACATCAAGGTGCAAGGTAAAAAACAGGATGTTTAAAAGATTTGTTATTTTAAATTTAAAATTCTAACTGAAAATCAGTACAAAATTAAACATTCATTGTGACAAAACAATATTATCGCAGAAAATAAAGGATTTTGTTTGTTCCAAACAAGTGGGCAAAGCTTTTTTTTTTTTTTTTTTTTTACAATATATAGATTCAGTTGAACTTCAGCATCTTGAACATCGATATCTCAAATACATCATAACCAAGGATGCAGAATTCAAAATCTCACATTAGAACTACTTCTTATATTGACAGCAACAGTGTAGTCGCCCGCGTGGCGCAGTGGTTAGAGTGTCTGCTCTAGAGTCGCCAGGTAAGGAGTTGATCCTTACGTCGCGGGTTCGAATCCCACTGTGGGACGTGGAGACCGGTCCTTCGGATGAGACCGTATTTAAACCGAGGTCCCGTGTCGCAGTAGGTGCTGGCACGATAAAGATCCCTCACTGCTCAATGGCCGTAAGTGCCGAGCATAGGACAAAATTTGCAGCTCTCCAAGTGGTGGCGTCTCCATATGAGTGAAAAATTCTCGAGAGGGACGTTAAAACAACATACAATCAATCAATCCTAGATTATATTAGAAATGCTTCTGGAAAATCTTCATTCAAGAATCTTTTGAATTATTATTTTTAAGGGGGTGAACTTTTTCATTTTGGAATGAGAAATTACAACATAATACATTGTCATTTAAGAAATAATGTAAGTAATTGATGGTGCACTTATTTAAGCAACGTTTATCAGAAACAGCAGTGCATGAACAATGTACTGATACTGTTGAAGATGCTTAAAATTACTTTTTTTGCTTGTCCAAAATATACAACTTCTAGAAATTTTTACTTTTCAAAAAATCCAAAATATTATTGATTGCGATCATATCTCTGAACTTGATTTATTATTATATGGAAGTCCAGGTCATGGACCCAATATTTAAATATTTGAAGCAGAGCATGCATAGCAGCAACAATTTAAAACGTTTTATTTGTACACCATGTAACTTTTGTCAGTACTTCCAAATTGATACTTCTCTGTATTTTTCCTTTTCTTTCCTTGTTTCCTTTTCTACAATGTTTGCTTAATGAATTAATATTATTTAAGTGTGCATTCACCTTGACCTTAATGTAGGGAGAGGGCTAAAATAGAGGGCCCAATACATTCACTTTTTGTGAATAAAATTTTGTATAAATAAAAAAAAAATATGTCGCAGTAATTTTGTGACTAAAAACTATATATATATATATATATATATATATATATATATATATATATATATATATATATATATATATATATATATATATATATGAATATATATTTAATGTATGGTGAGCAACACTTAGTACAAATATAATTTCTTCTTGAACTTTCAGTAAGGCGTGACAATTTCGGCGATACATAATTAACGTCTCTCAAATGGTGACCTAGATTCTCATTGGTTAAGAAATTCATAACATTAGCAACTTTAGATTGTTGTTAACAATCAATGAGATGACATAAGCCACACCTCTTTACTGTAAGAAACGATGTAATTGGTTCCTTGCGTCACTCGTTGACGTCTGAACTATATTTATTCCATGTGTATTTCACCCGTGAATGAAAAGCTGACTGTGTAAATTTCAGTATTGATTAATCTAATTAAAATTAGATGTTCCGAATCCGCTACCGCTTCTCAAGCGGTAACGGATTCGGAACATCTAATTTTAATTAGATTTAGTATTGATGAGCTTATCTGCCAACCAATGAGAAACTAGGGCACTATTTGAGAGACGCTAATTATGTATAGCCGAGAATATCACGCTTTCCCGAAAGTTCAAGCAGAAATGATATTTGTACTAAGTATCATAGATGTTTGGGATCTTCATATGTTTTGGGTTTCACGACTTAGACCTCTCTTGAATTGATGACATTCCTGATTTTTAAATATCAGTACATTGTACTTCCTTATCAAATTGTTTTATAGCGTAATTGGCGTTTTATCATTGAATGTCGCCAATCATAATCTCGGCGCTTTCGGTGCGATCAAGTCGAAACTGTAACTTCCGCAATACTTTCCCCCAAAATAAGGCTTGTCCTGTTTCGTCGGACTTTGACCAAAGAGCGTAGTCATATGACGTCAACAGAACTTTGAGAGTGTTTGAAAGGTATTTGTAACTGACTTCGCTCAAAACAGCCACTATTATGTTGTTTCTTTTTTCTTCCAAGCATCTATTGTAAGCAAAATGCATTTGAAATTCACACCATTTGCTTTTAGCAAAATGATTAGAGAGGACGAAGAGAATTTGCCTACTTTGGTTAATATTGTCCACGATGTTATCGCAGTGCAACTTTCCGACCTCAAAATCTCGACATCTAACGCAGAGTTTATACCCTTTTTGCTCAAGAAAAGGTACGGCGATCCTAAAGATAAAACTACTGTCTTCGTCGGCGTACACAAGATAAATATCATAACAATAATCGGGATCGTCTGTAATCAATTCGTATCCTTTTTTGTGATTCTTGAAGACGTACAGCCAATATCGTATGTGCCATCGAAGTTTGTACACCAACGCCAACACAAGAAGTATTGTTGCTACTAAACTACAAAATGTAATAATAGCTATCACCAGTGCTGGGTTAATAGGGCACAGGTCTCTTTCAGTCAGGTCAAACAATATCTGTGTGCCCACATCATGTGTATTAGACCTACACGTAATTTTATCTATCTTTGACAACTTCTTCTTGTTTGAATGCATCCATCTATAGAACCAAATCACGTCATCACAAATGCACGAAAATTTATTATAACTGACAGTTAGACCACTGTCACTTAATCCATTAAGTAGAGTCTGGGGGAAATTAGAAAGTGTTATTTCATCTATGTTGTTGAAAGACAGATCCAGAAATTTTAGGTTTGACTTATTTCCAAATATCAAATTACCATTCCACGATCCATTTAAAAAGTTATTCGATGCGTCGAGTTTGGTCAACTGAGGTAATTGGCCCATAAGTCCACGTGGTAAAAACTTCAGACGCATTCCTCTTATCCCAAGGGTTTTCAAGTTTTTCAGAGGATTTAACATAGAAATGAACTCATCTTCTCGTAGATCGAGAGTGTTCCCGGAGATGTTAAGCGTTTCGATCTGTGGACAATTTTTAAAGTACTCTGGAGCAGGATCGGTTGTTTCATTTCGAAACCTAAATCCATTATGTGTAAACATCAGTTTTTTTAGAGATGCACTTTCGAATGCTCTTGGTTCAATATGAAAAAGCTGTCCGGCTAATTGTTGAATATAAAGTACTGCTAAAGACGTTAGATTTGAAAAGGTATTATTATAAAGCTTTCTTATCGCATGTCCATTTAAGTTTAAGTATGTTAAATTCGATAAACATTGAAAGTAATTCGCCCGAAATTCAGTTAATTTATTGTACTGAAAATGAATTTTTTTCAATTTCTTGACGGATGAATCACAAAAATTTGGAAATTCTTTGAACCAGTTACCCTTTAACAATAAATTTGTAATATTTTCTAAACCTGTAAAGTTATAAGTATTCTCTGATATTCCGTTAAAGGACACGTCTAAATATTGGAGATTCTTTAATTCTTTAAACCAATCACCTAACAAGTTTCGAAAATAATTATAAGATAGGGTTAGATGAGTAAGACTACTGTTCTTAAGTTTATCGAATTTAGGGGGCTCATTCCAGGGATTATGAGAAAACTTTAAACGTTTTATCGTCCCAGACACACCATGCAACATGTCCCCAATTTCTTTAGTTGAGACTTGAATTTCTCTGCTGATCTCCAATTCTTGCAGATATTTCATTTCCGATAGCGCATCTTTGGAGATGTTCCTGATACGATTGTCTACTAAAGTCAGTCTCTTCAATTCTATATTTTTCAGTTTCTCGAACGTTTGTTTAGTTACATTTGTAAACCGATACCCTTCAATGTACACGTGCCCTGTGTTGTAAGGCATTTCCGGTATAAAGCCTAAATTTTTCTTGTCATCCCTATTCACACATATTATTTTTACTTTCGTAGGCTTTTTGCCATAAAACGAACACTTGCAGTTCCACTCTGGGGGGATTCTTTTGGCAGCGCTACACGGATTGATTTGTGAGCTACATTCCACCACCAGCAGTGCTAAAAATATGACGAGTGTTGAAATCATTTTTACCCAGCCAAGATTCTAGAAAAGGAAAACAACACATACAAATAGCTGATGTCATTCAAGGTTTTAATATGCTTAGCATCCACTTTAAGATATAAAAATTTATCTTTCTATCCGGGAAAACACACAATAAGCCAACAAGGGAAAAGTAGCACAACATTTTTAGAATTAATAATTATATAAAACTTCGCGTCATCATTTGATCTTTTTTTTTTTTTTTTTTACAATGTTGCAGAATTTATAAAAGACCAAAAAATTTGCTAGTTTCATAAAATCCAAATCTTTAGTAAAAACTTTAAAAGAATGTGCACTCATGATTATACATTATCTGTCTCTTTTATCTTTTAAGGTATATCCATCCTCGCAATTTTATGGGTTCAAAGTAGAAAAAATGCATTTATTTTCACTGAATATAGTTTAAATTAATGAATAATCGCAAAAAATATTTTAGTTACCATATTATTTTTAAGATGTAAGACATAAATAAACAGAAGCATATGTCAGCATTAAAAAATCGTACATTTTTTTTTATAAACAGTATTATAAAAATAATGTAAAAATTGGTTCAAATACATAATCGTGAAGCTGAAAGTTCCAAAATAATTGCTTCTTTATACAGTATATATGTTTTAATTGTGAATATCAGGGAAATCATTTTACAATAGAAGTACAATAAGGAAAATGCTTGAATACAAATACATAAGAAGGAGTTATTGCCCTTAGCAACATTTTTTAAAGATTGAATAATTGATAAAATATTGAAAATATTCAATTTTTTACTTCTTGTATTAAACACTATTTGTTATTACACCCACTGAAAAGCAATTTTTAAAAAAATATATTTCTGTTGGGTATGAATGTAAATTAATAACAGTTTTTGCAAAAACCTATGACATCACAGGAGGGTGAAAATACCTTAACAAGTATTTTAATGATACCTCGTCCAATACCCAGCATGCTTTGTCCATGACTTGTACATAAAGTTTTGTTTTGGGAGTCGTAAATGAATTTGTCGGGAACACAAGGTAGTAATATTTTGATATATGCGGAGAAATAAATCGAGAAACAGCGCACTTTTTGTGCGCACTAAATATACACTTTTTTTAATGAGTTGCACTATACCTCTATGGTCGTCCTTTTCAATTCTTAAAGACCAGCGAGCTACAGATCTGCAGCTACCGGGGGAGGGGGGGGGGCTACTTTTTCTGAGAATAGCTACTTTTTCTGAGAATAGTCTTTTGCTGTAGTTAGACCCTGCTTGTCCTCCACAATTTTGTCGAACTCATGCAAATTCCAGCGTTTGGAAAAAAAATGAATCCCCAGAAAGTTAGAGAAGGGTCTAATGCCTCACTTACCACCACCACTAACATCATGGAATAGGTTTTTCGAGATTGGGCAGTTTAATTAGTTTTTTTTCTTGTCACCCCCCCCCCCCTTTGAAAAATGTTGCTATGGGTCTGTTTCTTGAAGAAATACTTTGACATTTTCACGGCCAATTTGATGCTTTGCATCGATTTAATGTCTTATTTTAATATATTATCATTACAAACCTAAATTAGAGGTATTGTGATCACTGAGCACAACGATACCCCCGCTTCCATCTCAGTGTAATAGCGAAGTTCATTTTTGTTGTGTTAAACCAAAAATATTTGTCCGATCAGAACATGAAATAGGGGGTCACAGTGGCACTGTTGTGATAACGATTCTGTGAAAGTCTAATCAAATTTTATTCGGTGGTATAGAAGGAGTTGCAGATAAGAGATGGACACCCCCAATATGATACAAAGAATGACAATGTCCATGTTTTGCTATGGGAAAGCCCAGATATGATGGAAGATGCACATCGGCACTATAATGTAATAAAGATTCTGTGAAAGTCTCATTAGATTTTATTTAGTGGTATAGGAGGAGTTGTGGATAAAAGATGGATACCCTCAATATTATAGAAAACATGGCAGTGGAAGGACGCACACCCCTTCACTATATACCACTTTTCAAACGGGGGTATAAAAATGTATTCTCTGCCATAGAATCTTCTGGCGTCTGTTGTCACAGTCCTGTCCCCAGTCTAGAGCTTTTACTGAACGAGACAGTATTGTAACACAAAGTATAGAACGATACCAACACCTTCATTTCAAAAAGAGAAGTAGATAAAAGCTGACGACTCTGAATTTACATAATAGGGTACTTACTCCCCACCAAAGAATTTATTTGTCCCATAAGGGTGAATTAAAAAAAAATGACCAAACGTATATTTATCAACCCACACTAAAAATACAGACAGTGAAATTAGATTTCTATGTCTCAGAATATGTCTTTAGATAGTGTCTAAGTACCTGCCAAATATCTCGTTGATATCGCAATTAACAAAAAAGTTATGCCCAAAAATGGTGCTAAAATTGTCAGGAGTGCAACACCTTTTTGTGACATTTTGAAATTTCAATATTTTTTTGGAGATCTGTGAAATAAATAATAATGGTTTATGTTGAAAATAAAGACTTTCCGGATAATATTTAAAGTTTTGGGCTTTAAATGTGGACTGAGTGCAACAGAAAAAATGTAGTGTTGCCAAAAAACATCAATTGTAAAAGTCTGAAAGAAAATTAAGACGAAAAAGAATTTTTTAAAGTGTACAATAATAACTGATATACATTTTAAAACTTAAAAATGTTATATAAATCAAAAGCAGCATGAATGAGAGTCAAGGTTATGTGCATACCCAATAATGTCAACATTTGATGTTTTGCTCCCAAGCATGAAAAAACTATTATCATTATACGATTTTCTGATTTTTATTTTGGAAAATAAAGACACAAAGAACATTTTTACCAGATATATTTATCAATTACAGGGTCTGTCTATGCTTCAGGTCTATATTTCTATGGTCAGGAGTGCAACACATTTTTTAACGATTCAAGTTGTGTGACGAAAACACTTCTATTCATGCTTAGAAGTATTCATTAATTAATAATGATCTCTTTGTATAATTTAATACTAATATATCAACAGTTTTATTATTAAAATCCTTCCTTTTTCAATTTAATCAATTCAGAAGTGTTTTTATCTTTTTTTGTGATTTTTTTTAATGAATGTTAAAAATAAACACACTAAAAAATTGTCATAAAATTCAAGTAATTCCTCCTTAACTTCACTGAAACAACAGAACAAGTTCTTATGTAATTTTCAATGCACAATTCTACTTTAAAGGCCCCAATGCTTTTGGTCAGGAGTGCAACAAATATGTTAGAATTATAATTCATCCAATAAGAATAAAAATAAAGAAAAATTATGAGTAGAATTTTTCTGGTGGGTTACTGTGTTTGCCCTCTAAAGGAAAATATGCTATAAAATATATTTTATCTTCTAAATATATATTTAAGCTAGTTTTTTTTTGGCATAAATAGGAAATAATTCCAGATAAAATGCGAATTTTAAATACTTCCATCTGTTTTAATTATGAAGTATTGGATTATAAATATTGCACAATTTCATTACCACTTGATGTTGCCAACACTATGAATTTTTGTGTTCTGTGGTTTTATTTTTAAATTTTACTGCAGTCAAGAGTGCAACAAAACTGCTTTATAATTACCAGTGCTTGTTAACAATCTTCACTAAAAAATAAGTTGAAAAAAAATGTTTCATACTATTTGATATTCAAAACACTATGTCTATTAACAAATTACAGAAATTTTACTGTCAATTCAGGGAAAAGTTTTCATCATTTCACATATATTTTTAAATACAATATATATATATATATATATATATATATATATATATATATATATATATATATATATATATATATATATATATATATATATATATATATATATATATATTAGACTTTGCAAATAATCATGTTTAAGGTCTTCAAAATATGAAAAACCTGCCGTAAATAATGAAAAATATCAAAACGACAAATTGATTTATAAAGTAAGAATGGGTTATTGTGTGCTATAATTTTTAAAACAATGTTAAATAAATTACATATCAGATGTCAGTAGTGCAACACAATAATGTAAAATAGGGTCACTTCAAAATCTAGTATTTTTTGTAAGAGAACTTGTATACAAAAATTCTTTTTTTTTTTTTTTGGCTTAGATTTGAAGAATTGACTTGAACGAACAAAAAAGTGAATTTTTTGGAATTTTATTGCTTCACATTTTTTTGTATTAAAACTTTTCAAACCAGAATTGAAAAAATAATGTAAAATAACAATAAAAAAATCCATTTTTTTGTCATATATACAAGAGAAGATACTCAATTAAGGTCTAGATTTAATCATTTATATTCCTTTTACCATTTTGAAGCATAAAAAACTATAATTTCTTGTGATTATGTATTTTAGAAAGTCTTTTAAGGTGTAATAATATTTTCATTTTTCAAAAGAAATTTTACTAATAAAAATTCTGAAACTTTTTAATCCAGTTGTCTATTCTATTGCCACTTCAGGATTTTAAACTAGAATGCATGTGCAATATGATAATACAAGTGAAAAATGTGTTACGAGTAGTTGAATTTTTCCAAAAATTTTTAGTTTTTTTTTAATTCACCCATAAACGTACACCTAGCTTATTTCTGTTTATGATTGAGCTTAGAACTTGAGTTAGAGCTCAGTCCCCCAACAATTCAGTCAAAGAGAATTCCAAGTAACTCAACTTACACCCACAACTATGAAAATGGTGTATATTCAGTTTGGGAAGAAATCCAAAATCCAAAGAACAAATTTCACAGGCTTACCTCGTTATATTGCCCTCCCTGACTTCAATACACACTTGCATGCGTCGATACCTGATGCAAAAGAACCGAACTCTGTATTTTGGGATATTTTATGCGGAGAAAAATGCAGTTTATCGAATCACGTTTTACAATTATTTTTTTTTTTGCCGGTATTACTATTTTTGTTTCAGGAAGTTATTTTTTAATAGTGACAAAACTGTGGTGATCAAAGCATGCATGGTTTCAACATTGTGGGAATTCTCGCTAAATACACAGATATTTACTGACGTCAT